CGGGCGACGCCGCCAAGTCGGATGCCCTAAAGTGGACGGACGTGCACACAAAGTACCTGCACGTGGCGGGCGACAACCTGCCTGCCCGCCGCCTGCTGTCATTTCACGCACACCACGCAATCAAGTACACTGTGAGCGCCGGCTGGCAGAAGCCTGGCGAGGTCATAGTGTCGCAGGCGGGCTGGGCCTCGCCTGGGTATGACCGCGAGTTGATGCGCAAGTATCTGGAAGGAGCTGTGACATCAGCAGTCACAGTAGGTAGCAGCAAGGTAAGAGGTAGTAGTCGCTGGAGGCAGGAGGACTCGTTACGAAGCTAGGGGCGTGCGTTGTGTCGTCACCCCGGAGCTTTTGGCGAATGGACAGTACTCTGCTACTCACTGGTATATGGTGATGAAGTCCCCGCCAGCAGCCTTCCCCGTGGTTCCGATGCCCGACTTGCCAGACAGGACATCTTCCCAGCCCGCCGGGACCTGAAAGGGGACCAAGGGGAGCTCCGGTGGGTATCCGTATCGGCGCGGTGTGGTGCATCACTGTGTTTTTTACCATACCATGATAAACGGCCCCCTAGGGGAGGATGAGTTAGGCAATCCAGCGCGGTGCCCACCAGCAGCAAGCACATACACGGTGTTCGACGGGCAGCAACCATCAAGTTGGACAGGCAGCCCCGCGCGTTGGAGACCTTCATCACCGCCGCCACGCATAATTGAGATGCCTGGACCCACTTTCCCCTTGCCGTACCTTGTCGTCATCCTGTCCGCAATCGCCGTCCAGCGTCAAAGGTTCTGGCTCCTGCAGCCGCCAAGAAGTCATCGCGGCGTGCATGGTTCAGAGGTTCAGGGACATGGACAAGACAATGCTAAGGGAAATCAGGGTGTTGGATATTGTAATCAATCCATGCAGGTGTCAGACATGCTCTTGTCGTTGCTGCTGCTTCTGGTGCTATGCAGGAGCAGCAGACAAGAGCTACAGATATGTTTCCAATTACGGCTTACACCAGGAAGCCAATGCATCCTAGAAACGTCTTTAGGCTGCTTAGGTGGGGTTATTTCAGCAGCACCACAACCCAGCCGCTGGGAACTCCGCTTTCACAACCCCCAATAATGACATTATTATTTTCGAACCCCCTCTGATGGTTTGGGTCCTCTCGAAGTTCTCCGATGATCCAAACATTATTAATTTCCGTTCCGGCCTTAGGCCCCATCATGCCCCGATGCCTCTGTGTCCATCTTGGCCCCCGCCGCCCTAAATCACCCCTCACCTGCCCTTGCGGCGAAAAGCTGCGCTTTAGCGCCGTGGCGGAGGGTTTCTTCATCGGCGCGACCTTGCTGCACGACACATCGTACGGCAACCTGGCGGCGGCGGCGGTGGCGGCTGCATCTCCAAACGGATCGCTGATCTCCTTGATGGGCGTCCCAGGATCCAGCACCCGCATCAGGGCCTTGTTAGGCTTCACATCGGGCATCTGGTACGGCTTGGTGTGGTCGTAGCTTTCCACGACCCGTGGGTCGGTCACATCCAGCCGCCGAAGGTTCTCGTCCCAGTGCTTCAGCAGGATCATGGCCAGCTCAAGGTTTTGGAAGCGCGCGGCGGCGTGCAGCGGCGTGCTTCCGCGGTCTTGGCAATGGGGTTAGCGCCGTGGCGGCAGAGCACGACGGCGGTGTCGGCGCACCGTGAAGCGGCGGCGTAATGGAGTGGTGTGTAACCTGAGCTGTTTGGGTAGTCCACCAGCCTATGCGTGTGGGGGGGGCAAATGGGAGATGGAGGTTTGTATACATGGGCAGGTGTATTGGGGGGAAAGGGGGGGCTTGAGTTGAGATTTGGAACGGGTGTAGTGGTGGGCGCTGCTGTGTTGGGACACAGGACGTCAGCAGCGGTGAACCGCGAACGGTCCCCCGCCAGGTGGGTCCGTGTGGCCATCCGGGCCATCCCCCCATTCCGTCCCCTCTTCATTTCGCTGGCCAATCCCTGGGTTGGGTTTGAACCCCCGGCCCGAGTGTGCATCACAGCATCAAGCCGCGATGAGGCAGCGGTAGCGGCAGCACCTCAACCGGAAGCATCCAAAACAGGATCTTAGGTAGAAGTCTTTGGTATTTCTGGTTATCAATAAGCTATCCGTGTATTTTGCAGTAGCCCAGATTATAGCATCCGGAATTTTATTCTATTTTCCTTTCTTATGTTAACTGCAATTTCAGCAATCTCGTGAAACACGGTAGGATAGAGCCCTTTATGGTAGGAGGGAGAGAGGGAGGGAGGGGGTGAGGAAGGGAGAGAAAGGAAAGAGAATTTGATAACTCAGCCAATTACATGGCCCATGACCCAACCGCGAGCTGGCCCGCGACATGGCCCATGACCCAACCGCGAGAGCTGCCAGCGCGTGCTGGCCGGAATCCGGGTGGAGCTCAGGACTCGGTCTGCCCATGTTAGCCCTCATCCACTCGGTCCCGCGTGCACGCCGGACAACGACACTTACTTGCACTCCCGACTGCGCACTTTGCCAGTGAACTCCATGAAGGGGCTGGTGAGGATGGCCTCTAGGCAGTCGGGCTGGTTGTGCCGGGCGGCGATGTGCAGGGCAGAGCGGCACAGCAGCCGATCACCGACCCAAGGGTCGGCTCCCTAGTGGGCGGTGGGAGGATGGGGAACCATTGGATTAGGTGTGTGCGCGATGGAAGAAGGAGATGTACATCCTGAATGCGACTTGCATGATGGCTTTTGACCTGATGCCGGTCTTAGGGTGGTTGGCGACCAGGAGCGCCGCCCTGGAAGAGCGCCGCCCTGCTTTCCCCTTTTAACAAGATGTTATATGAGCAAGGCTGCGAACGCGCATACACACACACACACCGCCCCCTCCCCCTTTTCCCACGGAGCACCCACGTGCATGTAGTACATGGTCAGCGGTATGGAGTCGAACCACGTGTCCTTCACCAAGGCGCCCTCCACGTAATACACCACCGTACCAGCCACCACCAGCAGCACCCCCAACACCACCACCAACATGCCGATCACATCCAGGTTGGCAGATAGGGCGTCAACTACCAACTGAAGGTTTCGGAACCTGAGGCAGAGGGGCAGGGGCAGGGAGAGGGGGAATTCAGGAAGGTATAGGGGTTGATGTGGGGATGTGGGTAGGGTTTGGACTTGGGGTTCGGACTTGGGGTTTGGACTTGGGGTTTGGGTTTGGGCTATCGTCAGTCCTCTCTCTTTCGTTGCACAACTGTTTCCCCCTCTTCCCGGCCCCCCTTAACCCACCACCCAGCTCCCCCATGCCCCGGTCGGTTTGCTCCCATCCTAAACCCTCCTCCCTTCCCTCCCTTCTCTCCTTCCCTTCCCTACGGTTTTTATTGTGTGTAATCCCCTCCCCTTCCTCCCGCGGTCCTAGTGAGTCTTCGGTCTAAGCGTGCATCTCTACTGTCGATTTGTCAAGCAGCAGCTTGGATGCGGTCGCTGGTCTGAAGGAGGAGGTTCATACGTATGATGTTAACAGTAGCTGTGGTATAGAGCTACTAATTGACTGGCGTCCTCGCTCCCCACAGAAAGCGGGGCTTGCCGAATGGAGACCATGTCTAAGTAGATCTGGACCCTGTGTGCTGCTGACATTTGCTTCAATTGTGTAGGAGGCCACAAGGTCGCCAGAGCGTGCTCACAGTGAACCTTGTATTCGTGGGAGGGGGCTACAAAGGTATAGGGAAGTGTCACGGCATCTTGCTTGGGCGTGGTCTGGCTGCTGCATGGTATCCTGGTTGATTTTGCGAATTGCATCACATACAGCTTCACTGTTAAGCAGAAGCCACGATAAGTTTTACCTAGATGGTTTTACCCAGGACCGGTACTTGTTGCAATTGGTCCGCAGGAAACACTTTCCTAGTTTCTTTCTAGCAATTTCCCTGCCCTGCATTAGCTCACTTCGCGCACTTTCGTGTGGCTTCCAGAGATGCATTGCACCCTCCCGGTTCCCGAAGCTCCTCCGCACCGATAATCGGGTTTCATCTGCTTCATCATCGAATCCATCTCGATGTCAGCTGGCACCTTTGTCGTTTCTGGCAGGGCATCTTACGTGCTCCTTTCGAAGCATGTCAGCCCTGGATGTCTGATGGTTGTGGTTTTGGGGGCGGTTGCTGCGGCGGAGTGGAACAATGAACTAAACAGCGACGGGCGATGTGTTCTCAAGGCGGTCAAGGGTGGTGGATACAAATGAGTGCTGTGCGGGCAAATACGGATCGTGGGCGTGGCGGGCCCTATACATCCACATATCCGGTACGTGGTGGCAGGCTTGCCGAGGAGGACATGCAGGTTGGGTCGCATCACAGTATACAACTAAGCATGCATGTGCCTCTCCAGATGAAGACGCGGCGCACTTCTGGGCGACAGCTGTCGGTCCAAACTCCGAAGCCTTGGACTGCAAGCTCGTTCTTCGCAGGCAGTTGTAAGGCATAGCGCAACTATTCGCTGCCTCATGCTACACACCCCTTCAAAAGTTCACGTCTTTGTTATATATTTATTCTGATTAAAGATGCCATCCAGCCGAAGGAAGTTGCAACTCCTGTGTCGTCTCCATCGACACACAACATCAACACATACGCGCAGCCTCTGCGCATCCATCAAAACTTGTGTACATAGGAGAAGGGCGTCCCTGTCGTCATCGCTGTAAACGAAATGCCGATAGTCAACACTGTATTATATCCAGGAAGCTGCGTCTTGACTGATACCCACCTTGCCTATATCATACGGCAACATGAGGGGCTAACAAGAACACTATGCTGGATAAGTACATGCCTGTTGGGGCATCCCGCATCTCCCGCATCTCTCTTGCCTCCTGGGAGGTTTTCTAAATGTACGACGTGGAACATGCCTGTAGACCAAGGCAACTGTCAGAATTGCTGGGGCAAGAACTTTGCTAATAAAGAGATGTCCGAAAGCCTTCGTGGCCCAACACCACTCGAGGGATTTTACAATCAAAAAACCTACTCACGCAAGCTACTAGCAGCCTCCACAGTGTACGGCCTCACCACTGCAAACGAATTACGCAGACCGCTATTACGATTCCACTCGCACGCAGCACGCACTCTACACGTGTGCAAACCTGCTCCTCCACCTGCTCTTTACAGAGCTCTGTGGATTCCCGCAGAAGGCCTCGGTCATCTTAGCCTCTACCGTATGTAAGCCGCTACCAGAAGACGCAGAGACACACACACACACACAATCAATCCCGCGTAATGCTCCCACGGAAATCTAAATACACCCCATAAAACTTCTTATAAACAACCCTTACTTGGCCCCACTCTCTGATTACGAGAAACCTTCACCAACATTTGGGTTTTGCAAAGTTAAGCTAACTTCTTTCACTTTCGTTCCGATATCTGCCTCATGCCGAATGGTTCTTCCCTCCCTTTCCCCCCTTTTGGCCCCCTCCACCTCCCGGCGGCGACCGTTCGACCTGACGGCCGCACGCACAAGGCCCCCTCCTGCTAACTGGCGGCTCATGTCCCCCAGGCAGTAGCAACAGCAGTAGCAGTAGTAGTAACAGTAGCAGTAGTAGTAACAGTAGCAGTAGCAGTGGTAGTGGCACTAATAGTTGTAGTCGTCGTCGTCATCGTAGTAGTAGTAGTAGTAGCAGTAATAGTCGTAGTAGTAGTAGTAGCAGTAGCAGTAATAGTAGTCGTAGTAGTCGTCGTAGTAGTAGCAGTAGCAGTAGCGTCACGTGGTCTGCAGCCGCACACAAGCACCCTTCTCTCAGCTGCCGCTGGGCTCCATCGCCGCCAGCGCCAACATGGCTTCCATGGTGTACCTGGCGTCGTTGCCGCCGTTGTGAAGTTTGGTCGCTGGAATGCCCAACACCTTGAGTAGCACCCTCAAACTCATCTGCAAACAACATCAACATCAGCAGCAACAGCAACACAACCTTTTCACCGCAAGCCCCAACCGCAAGCCACCCCGCCATCGTGCTGGGCTCACCGCATTTCGCTCCCGTCCTGGTCCGGCCTCCAGAGCCGCCCAGGCTAGTTCTGCGGTGTCCACGATCGCGGTTGCGGGGGGTAGCTGGACTCCTAGCATGCCGGACAGCGCCCTGAGGTCCTGAGACAGCCTGAGGGAGGGCAGGGAGGGAGAGAGGGATATGAGGCGAGGAGAGGCGAGGAGAGGCGAGGAGAGGAAAGGAGAGGAAAGGAGAGGCGAGGCGAGGAGAGGAAAGGAGAGGCGAGGACAGGAAAGGAGAGGAAAGGAGAGGCGAGGAGAGGAAAGGAGAGGAAAGGAGAGGAAAGGAGAGGCGAGGAGAGGAAAGGAGAGGAGAGGAGAGGAAAGGAGAGGCGAGGAGAGGAAAGGAGAGGCGAGGAGAGGAAAGGAGAGGAAAGGAGAGGAAAGGAGAGGAAAGGAGAGGAAAGGAGAGGCGAGGAGAGGAAAGGAGAGGCGAGGAAAGGAGAGGAAAGGAAAGGAGAGGCGAGGAGAGGAAAGGAGAGGAAAGGAGAGGGGAGGAGAGGAAAGGAGAGGCGAGAATGTGTGGGAGGCGAGGCAGGAAGGGGAAGACGAACCATGAACGAGTGAAGCTGACGCCATGAATAAACTGGTACGCCAGAAGTAAGGAAGCAATAACCAACCAGTAGGCGCTTGTCAAGAAGCAGCCTTCGCGGTAGGCTGATGTTAATAGTCATGACGATAGCGGAAAACTACCTAGGTAAAACTACCTTGCCTGGAGCGATAAGCTAGGCCAGGAGGGGCAGGGGGGGCAAAGAGGAGGGGAGATGGGTATTGCCTAGGAGACGCACACATACACACACATACATACATATATACACATGTACACACACATGACCACACGCACACATTCTACCTAATTGGGACTTTGATTGGAAATTCAAACACGTCGCGGGTGGGTGACACTAATCGGAGTTACCACTCTTCGGTGTTCTAGTGAAAGAGAAAGAGAGTCACTCGCTCCGCCGTGTACCACCACCACCACCACCATCTCTGGCGTGTACCACACTTCATCCGGTTTCAACGCGGCGCCGAAGATAATCATCATCATCATCGCTAAAATAAACACACACGGCCTCACAAACACAGGATGTCGTACACCGCTAAGGACAGACAGAAGCTCACCCGTGCCCCACAACCACAAGCTGAAGCCGCGGGCGACGCGGCGGCGGCACCGGCAGCACCGGCGGCATGCCAGTAGCAGCGGCAGCACCACCAACACCACCGGCGGGTGCGACATCCGATGCCGCCGGGAAGGAAGAGGACGAGCGGGCCGCCGAATCCTCCGAGGCGTCGACACCCCTGCCAGCAGCTCGCTCCGATAACGCCCACGCGTCCAAAGCCCCCCTCCCCTCCGGCGCTTGCAGCTGCTGCTCCCGGCGCTGCTGCTCCGCCAGCCAGCGGGCCCACAGCCGCTCTCCGTAACTGTCCAGATCGGCCTGCAGCGCCGCGGCGCCCTCCGTCAAGGAACCAAGCGTGCTGCTCCCGAAAAGGAAGTCGTGTTTGTGGTCAGGTACGTGGATGCGGTTGACGAGGGACTCATTCTCCGCCACGATGTGATGCCGGGACTCCAGCTCCCTCGTCAAGTTGTTCCACAAGGTCCAGCCTATCTCAGTCACCCTGGAATTATCCCGCTCCCACCACTCCAAGTCAATGCTACAACACACCACCAACACGCCCGCAGCCGTGTCGCCTGGAAGGCAGGCTCTGCCCGTGCGAGGGGGACCCACGGGGACCTCCTCGCGCTGCGCAGCCTCATCAGCGGCTGCGCTGGCGGTACCGTTGCCACCGGGGCAATGCCACTCGAGGACGGGGCTTGCTGGGCAGAATGGCGGATCGCTGTCGTACTCGCAAGCGGGTGAGGCCGCCACCGCCGCGGCGGCGGAAGCCGCCAGCGAGCAGCAACGCGGCGTCGCTGGCGGCCATGTGGGCGTGACGGCGCTGCTGGGAACGGCGGACGGGGAGCAGCTGGTAAGGGGTGAGGCGGCAGTGAACTGTGGTGTCAGGGCTCCACCGCCACAACCACTGACCCACGGGTCGTCGGCTGGACATGCGGCCGTGGCTGCGGTGCGAAGCGGCCGCAGCAGCGCGGGACGCTCCTCTCCAACTTCCACTGCCGCCGCTGTCAATCCATCTGCTATTGCTGCTGCTGCTACTGTTGTTGTTCCAATCCGTTTGGCGGCTGGATTTTGTGGCTCTGCCCCTGCTATAGGACCCTGTGGTGTCATTGCAGCCGCCGCCGCAGCAGCAGCAGCATCGGCAGGCGCAGTAACTGCGACAACGCGATGGATGCTTAGTCCACCGCCGTCGCTGTCGCCGCCTCCAACAGAGGCTCCGTCGCAGCGTCCGCCTCCTCCGCCTCCGCCTCCGCTACCGCGGCCGCCGGGATCGCACCTCCGCGGGATGCCTCCATCTTCTTCCGACCGCTGTGCACCCTTCTGACCGCAACCTCGGGAAATGGGATTAGGAGCTTTAATGGGATTTGTGGCATCTGCGAGGACATCACTGTTGCCGCCACAGTCCTCCACATGCCGCAGCTGCGCACCGTTGCTACTGCGGCATGCAGGGCCCCCAACAAGCTCAGCGCTCCCGCGATTGGGGACGATGCAACAATAAGTCGTCATTGCCGTTGCTGTTGCTATTCCCGTTGCTTGCGACGCCGACGCTGCCTGGTTGTCGGTGGACTGTGTGAGGCCTTCCGCCGGCGGTTGAGATTGTGATGTCGCGGCAGCTGCAGAGGGTGAAGGCCGGTCTTGTAACGCCGGGATTGCCGCTGCTGGCGTCGTTGTCGGGGTCTCCAGGTTTGCTGCTTTGCGTGTGTCAGCGGCAGAGGCAGCGGCGGTGGCGGTGGCCGGGCAGTCCGAGGCTGTCGGTGCAGGTGGCAGCGCCTGAAAGGGTGCCGTCCAGCGGCGGGCGTTGAGGAGTAATCCCCGTGCGGCTGCCAGCTGGCGGCATTGCTTTTGGTAGCGAGCCTCTCGCTTGAAGTCCTTGAACAGGGCTTTGACATCGTCCTCACCTGAAGGGATGAGGGGGCCGGAAGCGCCAAGAAGCACGGGATGAGGGACCAGGCTGGGGGAATGTGGATGGATGGAGATGAAGGAGTACGACGTTGGTATGCCTGCTTGTGCGTGTGGGGAGTGCGTTTCGGGGTTGGGGTCTGCCGCCGTACATAAATATAACCAGGTACGTGGTGAGTCCCTGGACGTACTTTGTAAATTGAGTGCTTTCACGTCCGCAACCCGTTCCGCTGGCAAGTCGACCTGCGGCACCTGCTCGCCTAACCTCGCGATGCGGTTCCTTAGCTCCGCTGACAACCGTTCACAGCATTGCTGGTCGCAGTACACTGCCCGCTTGCCCGTCGCCTTGCTGGTGCCTGGAGCGAAATGTGCGCTGGGTCAACTATGCTTACTTCTTCCGCGAGGCGAAATTCAAACTCATAAGTTATGCCATATTCGCTTACCAGCGTAGAGTCCAGCGCATCCAACGTAAAATGATGGGGCCTTGAAAAAGGTTGTTACACATTGTTGATAATCAGGGTTGCTTGAAAACCTTGCCCATGCATTCTCAAGACTGTAGACAGAAACTAAATTCATGGAATTCAATGGCAGGTTAATTATTTTCCCCTCATACACATGTACTGAATAAATCTGCTTTGGCCATGCATTCGAACATAAACTATCCAAGTACAGCCTGCTCACTTTCTGATGAGAACATCGTAATGGCTTACCGGCCCTGTCCGCTCAGTTGGCCGTCAACGGTCAAAGTACAGTCAGACAAAAAGTTTCCTTGACGTACGGCAATGCGATTTGACACACCCAGGGGGACACACCCACACTGCCCAGTACACAACCTCTCAAGGTTCCTAAATAAAGAACGGCAATTCTTGGTCATACTACTCAGCAGCCCAGTACCACGAGAATGACTATCGGCAACGTCAAGACGCAGACTTGCCAAACTTCCCACGGCCTCGCCGTTCCGCAACCGCTCGGGACCTGCGTTCTCGTTTCCGCCACTGGACCCTGTACCAAATTTGCTGGCGGTGCTTGCGCAATGCGCGCCGGAACAGCACCCCCTGCCGATGCCCCCTGCATAAAGGGCAGCAGTGCATGCATCAGTGCTGCAGGGAAAGCGAGGATATGTAATTATCATCACAGAATGCTCCAAAATACTGCAGGAGAAACGAGGGTGCTCAATTACCAGTTCAACCTGCTCCCATCCCGTTCATCCCAAGCATTTTGTGTTTCCCTACAGGTCTAGGTCGCCAATCACTTCCCACGCACACCTCCACGGTGATGTTGCCTGACGGTGGCTCAAGGATCGAAAGCCATTCAACAATGGACCCGGGATGCATTTATTATAAAGCGTAAGGAAACCCAGGAAGTGAGTTGGGAGGCCTAGCAGCACAGCCGCCGCAATACCCGCAGCGACCCATAACATCCATACCCATACCGCCAATGGAAAGCCTACCTGGACAGCGGCTGTCGCATTTCCAACCCAACTGCTACTGCTATTACCGAAGCCTTGCCCGGCGCCACCAGCAGTACTACCAACCATTGATGGTAAAGATGAATTTCCCGACAAGCTAGGCCTTGACTCCGCCGCTACGGGGCTCACCGCGGGCTGCTGCTGCTGCTGCTTCCCCCAACTTTCTGTATTGCCGCCGCCGCCTGCGGCGTTCCGTGGCGGAGCCGGCGGCGGCAGCGGCGTCTCCGACTGTACAGCACCTATGCGCCCCGTTGACAGCGCTGACCCGGCGGTGAGATTGTTGTTGCTGGCGCTGTACAGAGCCTGCGGCACAAGCGTGGAGGCGGCGGCGCTGCCGCCGCCGCCAGCGGAGGAGAATGCGCTTCTCCTCACGCTTGGGGGGTTCATTTCGTTTCCAGCAGCCAGCGGTACGACGATCCGCTGCGCCGGGCCGAGTCCTAAGACGGGGCCCCCTCGGAAAGGTTGGCCTCCAGGCGGCGGCGGGCCGACGGGCGCCATGGGGCCCACCCCTGGATTGGAGGTTGTCGCCCCCAACCCCCCGTGCGGGCGTGTCACGAGCGCTAGTACGGGCTCAATGTGGGGGTACGACAACGAAGCCAGCGGCAGCACGTGCATGTCCCGGGGAACGTGTGCCTGAAACAAACAGGGTGGTTTTCGGCAGTTGGTCGCCAGGGGGGAAAAGTCGTTGTGGGGAGGAGGAAATCCTTAATCGTGGTGTGCGTGGTGCGGTGTCATAAGGACGAGGTAGCCGACACGGCCACAACCCACCCACCTCACACACGTACTGGCTCTTCCCCGCGCTGCAGCAGATCGGCGCTGCCTTCCGACCCGGTTCCCCAGCTCTTCAGGCTTCACACATAAGCTGCGCCACCTGACACGTGATTCAATTCATCCAACCCACAACCTCGTGCTCGCTCCATCTTTCCCCCCCCTCCCCCCCCCCAAAAAAAATACAATGTATCGTCCACTCAAGCAATCCTTGCAACAGCACTGACTCCAACAACACATGCACGATCCTTGCCAAAGGCGGGTTCAGTGGGCCCATCTCGGTCCACCAAAACACCGATTTTTTGACACGTGAGGCTTAAGCCGTGATGTTGACAGACCCGGCGACAGACCCAGCGATAGACCCACCCGCGCCGTGATGTTGACGTTGAGAAACAGCTCCGCCGCCGCGAAATCAATGGGGCCCGCGTCCGGCCTGACAGAGTATAGGAAAGTCAGGTTGGAGACGTGCAAAGTGACAATCTGGGTGACCTACGGGGACAGTGTGGGGGAAGGGAGGGAGAGAGCGGGGGAATGAAAAGACGAACCACGGATGAGTGGAGCCGATACCAGGAAGGGAGGGGGATGGTAAAGCGCCTGGGAAGGAGGCAGTAATGAAAAAAAGGAAAAGGGAAAGTAAAAGCCAGGTGGAAAAAAGGAAAAGGGCGGGAAAGGGAGTTCAGCAAAGCTGTGTCTGTCGCGACTGTACGACCCTCCAGAGGGTGGCAGATGGCGAGTAGATGGGAAGAAGGGAAGGGACAGAACGAACTATACGATGTGGTGCAAAATGCAAAACGCAAAAAACATCGAAACGGCCGAGACCAGACATCTAAGGCACAAACCCCCGTTTGGGGATGAGGGCTTGATAGTTTGAGAGGGCAGGGAAGGAGAGAGGTCCTGGCACGCAGCCCGCCAGGGTATATCTTCTTCATGGCCACCCTCATCCATGGCCATCCTCTCGATGTCGACCAGCCATACGCCGACACCCCTAACCCCCTAGACCCCAGGTGCGCCTCCTCCCCCACCTGGTCCTGCGACAAGTGCAAGAGGGGATATCCCGGGTACGTCACGCCACGTAGATCAGCTGATTCAAGCGCCACCAACGGGGACTGTACGGAAACTCGTCCTCTCAGCATGGTCAAGTTGGTGGGGACCGTCACGAGAGTCGGACTGGACGCCACTGACGACGGCCAGGGGAATGGCGAGTACAAGAACATCTGGGAGGGCAAAGGGGGGGCAGGGAGGGGGAGGGGGGACAGACGAACCACGAGCGAGTGAAGCTGATGCCAAGGAAAGAAGACTGCTGCAGCAGGGGACGAGGAGGAGGATGGAGAGGATGAGGAAGAGGAGGATATGACAGAAGAAAAAACATATCCAAAAAAACGTCTTCCTTTTTCTCCGCTAAGGTATCAAGTTTCTGGGTTGCAGAAATAGGCGCCAAAAAGATAACGACATAACTGACAGTTTTCTACGTGAAGCGTTGAAAACTAAGGTTTTCTGCGAATACGGAGTGTCTTTGCCGTATGGCGTACGAGCCAGTGTGGCTCTTGTGTCGCGGCACGCGACAGTGTTGGCTAATTCGGGTTGTTCGTAGCTACGTTTGGGTGCTGCCGTGAAGCGGTTGGTCTGTAGGCCTTGGTGATCCGCTTCGTGGTAGTGTGCCCTCTCCCGGCCCTACCCTTTCACGAAGACGTTCTTTCCTTGCGTGCAGGTACTTGTTTGTAACGTAGTCTTCGCATGAAAACGACACAGAAGTGATGGAAATTGACAGACCGTTATCGCAGCAGGTAGGAGCCGAACTGCCGACGATCTCTATTATTGGATAGTATATTCCTTCTCAGCTTTCGCCTTACCCGGAAATCGGTTAGATTTGCCGTACCAACCACTGGAGATGTGGCGCCAGTCGCCACCCCCACCACTCCCACATTCCCAGGCTCCGTGCTGACGGTATACATCATTGGAAGCTTTTCCGCGTTCCAATCAAATCCGCCGTTTTCATCGCCATCCTCATCAGCATCACCACCAACGCCCAGTTCGGAACCGCCGTCCGTGGCATTTGCATTCACATTCACATTCGCGTTCACATTCACATTTGCATTGACGTTGGAGGTCGCATCGCGGATGCTACTCTGAACCCGCCGTGAAGAACCAGTGCTGTCGACGTTCATGCCGCCGCCGCCGCCGCCGCCGGCGCCGCCAGCGACCGTGGCGTTCACGTTCTCGTACGATTCACCGTAGTAGCCGTCATCGCCGCTCGGCGCCGTCACGAAGCGGGCGCGGCCGCGAGCCGCGGAAAGAAGAACGGCGGAAGTGTTTTGAGGGCAGCTTGTGGCAGATTCTGTCAGCGTCCACGCCGCCGCCGCCGTTAACCCCAAATATCAAAAACCCGTGGAAGAGAAAAGTGGGTTTGCCCTCCGGTTAGGGGGTGTGTACGGGAATTTATGTGATGCCAAGAATGCAAAAAAACTGAGCTGCCAGTAGCTTTCAAAGCACCAGTTTGCAGTCCGCAGTCCGCAGTCCGCGTACTGCGGTCCGGCTATAGAAGGCAGTAGATTGTGTCTTTCCCAGCTTTCAAATATTTTACAAGAATTACCTACTGAGAAGAAGACTGTTATGATCTTTGATTGGGAGTTATTAGGGACTTTGAAGCACGAAGCTAAAGCTGAGGAAAGGTAATAAATCGTTGTACGACCGACCGGGAGAAATGGCCCAACCCTCTCTCCCCACCTTCCCTCCCCACCTTCCCATTCCCACATGCAATTTTTTGAAAACACACCAACACAGCCAGCTAATAGGACCCCCGGGGCCATGCCCCCCAAACTCCCGTCGTACCCTGCCGTACCATTGACGAGCAACACCGGGATAGTGCCGATGGCTGGTATGCTGGTCGTACCGTTAGCCGTTAAAACCCTGATGTGCAGGGGGTCTGACACGCCGCCTCCGAGCCTAAAGCTGGACAGCTCCGGAACCACCTCTAGGAGCAAAACGCATCCCTGGAGCGTTCCTCCAGCAGCAGCGGGGCGGCGGCCGTCGGAATGTAAGAAAGCAGGACCGGAAAGGATATATTAGCAAAATTAAATCCATGGATTTTTAAATCAGGTTCAAATGAAAAGGAGCTAAGTTGGCGCTTGGCCCTTACTTATGTAAGAAAGCGGCTTCGCTGTAGAGTGTGTGTAGAGCTGTGCCGCTTCCGTTGGGAGATACTAATTCAAAACTGTAGTTTGTAGTAGTTTTTGAAATCCCGAACACCGTTCTGAAATCTCGGACTCCCTGGCACTAATAGCTTGCAGAGAGAAGGATGAAGACAGCACCTTACTGCAGCTACTGCAGCTTACTGCAGCTACTGCAGCTACTGCAGCTACCGTCTCCGTGTAGAGCGGCAGCGATGGCGGAGGGGATAGCCGAGCACTTCCCCGTCACCACCACGGGCTAAGGATCTGGAAGTCCACCGTCAACTTCTTTCTGAACACCCGCTACTCATACACGGCTCACCCCTCTTCCTTTTTCCTCATATTTCCTATTCGCCCTCCTCCTCCTGCTCCTCTTCCTCCTCCTCCCCTCTTCGTCCTGCCCCTCCTCCTAACCATCCCCCTCCTCGTCCCCTCCGGCTTTGTCCGGCCCATGCTTTCCACTTTTCCCGCGCTCCTGCGGACCTCCACCCTCCTCCAGTCCCTTGGACATCTCTTGACGTATGTATGTCAATGTCAACTATATGTGTGTAGTTGAGGCGGCAGCAGGTGGGGCGGGGGCGGGTGGGGCAGTTGCGCCCTCCTTCCCCTCCATCCCCTCCATCCCCTCCTCCCCGTCCTTCCCTCCTTCCTTGCCTTCTGGTTGCTGTCCTCCAGCGCCGTCGTCGGCTCCGAAACCACAAGGTCCTCTCCAGAATGCTGGGGAGGTGTCGCCGGCCCGACTCGCGTGACGCGCAGCTGCGGGGGCATCTGGCCCGGATGACCACCACCAGCGGTCACCTGGCGGGCGCCGCCGCCGCCGCCGCCGCCTGCTGCTGTTGATAATGCCGCTGCCAGCACGCCGGCTGCAACTCCTGTGTTGCTGCCCGGCGGTGACTGCGGCGATGGTGCTGCTGGCTGTGGTTTTAGCGGTGGAGCTGGCGGCGGTAGAGGCTGCTGCGCCAAGCTGCGTGAGTGACGCGAGGGCAAGATTGGTGTGTTTTTTTATTCATTCCCCCGGGGGGCCGGCCCCGTGAGATGCTCCAGGTGGCCATGCACGCTTGCGTGTGTCTCTGTCTGTTTGTCTGTCTGTCTGTGTGCGCGACGCGGCCATGACTTATACAGGATGTGGGCATTGTGAGTAGGCGCGTAGTCGGATGGAGGTGAGATACCGGACGGGTAGGCGCTAGGCGGGGCGGGGGCTGGGTGCGCGCCTATAAAGTATTCGTGTAGCCGTTACGTAGTCAGCCAGCCAGTCCGCAAAACGAATTCCCACGCTCTTCATCCTTCGCTTGTTGGACTCCATGTACATGTTTTGAATGTATTTATGATTTCATAATTAAAAACTGTTTTCGCAATAAAATTAAATTATTGCTTAGTAAACCATTGGCGCACGTGATTCGTGGCAGACTGACTGGCAGGCAGACAGTCAGACAGATAGCAGGGCATCACACCTGAGTAAGCTACCCAGGCTGATGAAAGACGCGAAGAGCAGCGCTCTCCTGGCTGCAGCTGTCCTCCGATGCGGCCTCTTGGGTCTCGCTACACGAAGTTGCATACTGCTGTTCAGCAATTTTCGGTCGCGCGGGAAGGATGCTGCTGCCTGTTTCCAGGGCGCCTCGAGGACGGTGCCTGCTGTGGATAATGGCTGTGATGATGACGATGATGATGATGATGATGGTGGTGGCGATGATGTTGCCGTTGTATCAGATTTTCTGACGGGTTCGTGGCAAAAAGAAAGGGCATTACGTTGCGTGCGTTGCCCGCTGTGCAAGAAAGTAGCGCAGATCGCATGTGTGGGCCTTTCACCGTAGTGGCTCTATCTCGGTTTGAAGTGTAAACGAAATAGCATGCATTCAGATTGGGTCATGTTGTTGGTGGGAAAGATTAATGAGGTTAGGAAAGGGCAGCTGCTGCCTCCAAAGTGCAGGCGCACCGCGGCTTCATTGGTAAGGCTCGGGCCCATGGGGCGTTTCTCCAACGGAAGGTAAATTACGAGGTTTACCGGAAGGCCAGCAAGGTTGCCTGGAACAGAAAACATCGTCCCAAAACATTACTTATGCCATTTTTTAATACATGTGCCACTTTCCAAAGTAAAACGATGGGGGCTGCCTGAGATGCAAAGGTAATTTGCTCGTGCGGCTGCTACGGCATTTTAATATGAATAGCTTCCTTCCTTTTGTTCTCTTCTTCCGTTTTCCCGAACAATTTTTTCTTACAGACAAGTGCAAGGGCTCGTAGGTGCGACATGTCAGTTTGAAGTACGCCAGAGTACGTTAGAAGTAGTACGCCATCAGCTTATGAGACAGAAGGCCTTAAATCGTAAACGCGCGAATCCGGATACTTCGCCTAGAGTTGTCCGGTTAGCGACTTGTTAGGGCGTTGCACATGAGCCGTTCGGGCTGCGCTACAACTACAACTAGATCTAATCTGGACTTGCAGATCGTAGATGGCAGAAAGCCAAAGGAAAACCAGCTTGTAGGTGGTGCTGCGCCGCTCCGGACTGCGATCCTGCTTTGGTTTGAAGTTTTCAAGACAACGACAACAACCGCAACGATGACTTTCCAAAGCTGCGCGTCAACACGTCACCTTTTGCACAAAATACGAACAAAATGCTTTCTGCTTACGGTATCTTGGACATGTCATCTTGATTGCCTTTCCCCATACCCCTCAACTACACAATCCAACGAACAATCGAGGGCCCGTCCCTCCATACTGCGTGCTTCACGACAGGTCGTTACATCAAGCACAGCGCCTGCGCAACAGGCATTCAATCGCTGTTACTCTACTCTGCACCTCCCACGTAACTGGGTCACCGGGGTCGTCGTTGCTTTCGGACAAATGGCCAGCGCTGCGCGGCCATCTTCTTGCCACGAGAACGCAAAGGACTGACGACACAATGAGCGAACGCCACGAACTCTAACGCACCTCAGCCCAAGCGCGCATGCGCAAGACCCAAGGCCCCAGGAAGAAATCCAGAGCCTAAGAGTATCTAAGGGTTTTTTTGCGCTGATCAGCTTGCAGCCGTTCCTTCACTGCCTCGGCAAAACCCGTTGATGATGAAGAACTCCGGGACCTTGAGAGCCGTTTCCGCCATGCGACACCGATTTTGCAGTTGCTGCAGCGGCAGCAGTAGCAACAACAGAGTCCTGTTCCAGCAGCCCGGCCGCTGCACGCACATCCATCTAGGCGGGGGCATCAAAGAATAACTGTCGCGCAAACAGGAGCGCACCGTCATGTCGCAATCGCTGTCCAGCTAGGCTCGGCTGCTACATCGACGGACGATGTTATCGGTATAACGGTAGGATTAGCACCAGAAGTCGTGTAACTGTTCCATGCTCCATTGCTCGCTACACCGGGCCCCTATCCCCAATGGTGCTGTTATGGCACACACACACACACACACACACACACACACACACACTCTCACCCGCCACTGAAGGCAACCCACGCATGCCACCGCGGTCCGGGGTGCAGGTGTGCTGCCGCCCCGTTTTACAAGAGTCCCAACGGGTCCCTGCCGCCGCTATCGCGGCACCAACAAACGCACCAACCGAGCCAACCGAATGATTGATGCCCTGCCTGGGCGGAAGCCCACTCATGTTGCAGGGCGGCGGAAGCAGCAGAACATGTCCCATTACTCTGAACTACTACCGGCATTCAAGTCGAGCGCCACATTAAGGGTCTTACTACCTACCCATCCACCCGCTCTTTTTCAGTGTATAAGTCCCCGATAGTAGCACTTGATTCCAGCCCGTCCTCCCAAAAATCCATTTTTTTTTCTCACTCAGTCGCGTCGACACAGTGCGTCGTCCTTCCGGAAGTCTATTGTTCGAACCCCGGCGACGCCCACCCTCTGCAAAATCTTTTTAATTTAGTAGTAGAATGCCGTCATGACCCAGTTGAACAATGCGGCGCCGACAATCTTCATGGAGACCTGCACAAAGCAAAAAAATGGAAACCGGGCAAGAAAACAAAATTCCTTCGATTCCGCTATCCATAAAGGAAAACCTCTACTCGAGGTAACTGGCATATATCTTATATTCCCCCACCCCACAATTTCTAGATTGCTCACTCTACACTCACTCTACACCCATAGCTATCTTGGAAGAAACGGTGAGGCGGAAATTTCGTGTCGTGCAAAACGAAACAACGCCAAGCCCCTGCCCCCCAGCAAGTCCCCCTTCATCGCCAACAGGAATCGAACACAAAACCTCCCGGCGGCTGCCCCGAAAATCCCGCTCGGAGACGTTGTTTACTAGGCACGAGGGTGAGGAGCTTCACCGGTCAAACTGGCTGTCCAAACCTCCCGGTGGCCTACTCCAGGAGCGCCATACATTCACGATTGCTCCAGAAATCTCGTATGAACACAATTGTCTGTTTTCTGCTGGACTACATCGCACCTTTTCTTTCCTTCCCTTCCCTCTCTGCCCCGTGTCCCGTTTCCTAAGGAGCTGTTACCATCTGATCCAGCAAAAAATCCATCCTGTACACTCCCAGAATGCCGCGCTGCGGTGCGCTATCCGCGGTATTGTTGCGCTGCGCGATCACTCACAATGATGTTGGGGATGCCCGGGATGATGGGCAACGTAAGCTTGAACTTCTGCACCAAGATCTCCGGCAGACTGAACACCAGCATGCCGGCAAAGGTTGCGAGGACGCCCAGCAGCAAGCCACGGGCAAAGTTCCGGCCGGCTGTGGGTTCACCCATCGCACCATCAGGGCCCCCCGCCCCCCAGGAAGGCAACAGGACGTGATTAGCAACAGGGTCAACATATCGGGCATGTCCGCAACGTCTTTCACTCGTCACACCGCAACCTCCTCCCCTTCATCCTCAACCCCCAAACCCCGGTCAACTACCGGTGCCGGTATCTTTCTATGCAGCTTGCAGTCACAGCCACACAGCCCACTACCCTCCAGCACCTGCCGCGTCTGGCCTCACGTGGTCGTCATCTCCACTTTCCTCCGTCCTTCCCTTCCCCGGAAACCACCTGTGCCACCTCATCCCTCTCACTTCTATCTTCCCAACTCACAGCGGCCGGCTTCCTCCTCCGTGGCCATGTCCGGGTCCTTGGGGGGTGGAAGGATAGCGTTCTGCTTCATCACATTGCCCGCAATGCCGATGAGCCCGCCTGAGGAAACCCCCGAAGTGGTGAGGGCGAGGTAAAGAACCGGCAGATAAGGAACATGGAGCAAGGGACACGGAATAACTCCCCCAAACCCCCACCGCCGCACACGAATATTTTAGATACAATTCGATACAACACGCGGCATGCAGTACACCGCAAAAGACATGCGCTCACACGAGTGACATAGCGCCCTTGGTGCCGGGGGGTTAGATGTGAGCACCTAGGGATTACGCACGTAAGGCTCACACGCGCATGAGGAGAGGCAAATGTAAAACACACGCACGGTAGGGGTACAGGAACCGGGTCGAGGCGGGTGCGGGCTTAGTACTTACTAAAGACGGCCAAGTTGAGTGCGGGTTGCTGAAAGCCGTATGCCACCATCCCCAGCTGCATAGCGCCAATGACCATGATGACCTTTGGAGTCGCATCCCAGCGCCTGCATTAGCCAGGGGTATACACACCCAAACGCGCCTTCCATTTCCCGTGCCCATCCGGAACCATTCACCGTCACACGGAAATCATCTCCATATGCTATGACGCGTTGGAAGAGCAGTTGAGCAATGCATCCAGCAGATGCCCATCGTGCCATTTGAGTCAGAGGGCTGCAAAGCATGCGTCAGCGATCAGCGGTGTTGCACGAGTGCTTGAATTCCGACTGAGAGCAAGTTGCACAGATCTGGGTCGGATATTAGAACATGGACAACATGTTTGCCTAGTCAGGAGGTCCTGCGGCTATGCCCTTGCGCCCGGTTTCCCGTTGACCCCCGGGCCATCCACAAGCGCACGGACCCACTTTGGTCGCCACGGGAACAGGGGCTCTTGGTCAGCATATGCAACGGACTTGCTAACGCCTTTTCCCTGCGTGATTAGCAATGCAGAATCGCCGTCAAGGAGCATGCCATGGGGCTGCCCCTTACACCAACGCCAGCCGCATACCTTCATGCGCGCGTTCAGCTGTGAAAGCATTATGTTGCTGTGTGCTGATTCCACCTTCTGAAGCATGTCTGGGTTGAATCTATGCTCATACTTCTTCACTCGGTAAGCTTTGCCAATTTCAGTACTGTCTGCCCCCCGCTCGATGCCCAAGAGCTGCAACAGGTGGACAAAAGTTAGCTTGGCAAGCTTTATTTTTTTCCAGACGTGAGTTGCGCCCGCCGTGCCTTGTATGGGTCATCCGACGCCGCCGCTCCGCAAATCACTCGCGACTGTTGTAGCCGGCATGGGTTAAACGGCGCAAACTTCGTTGTGGATTGAAATGGTATAGGTGTGCGCCCTGCCCGCAGGCCCGCTGACCGCTGCACCTGCATTCTTTCGAGAGAAGTCTACCTTGTTTCTTTATGCGTCTAGTCTAGCTCGAGTTAAATGCATATAGTACTCTTAATAATGACGTCTATTCCCCTGTTTTAGCTTTCAACATACAACATGCAAAAGCAAGGCTGAAGGCTCAGATCCAGAGTCGTCGTCCCAATGTTACATCCCCTCTAATTTCCGCTGTAGGAGTGCCACGAGCTCCGTTAACCGGCTATTTTCCACCTGCAGTTCAAAGGAAAGGGCGACCGAAGCGACCTAAGTCTTGTTCCCATAACAAGGATTAGGCGCGGTCCCAGGGGTCAGAATCGTAGCACCCAGGCCAACTTAGGAGAAACAGTCACACACATACCTATACGTTTTCATTGTAAAATATGTTAATCTCCTTACCCGCGCACCAATCTTACCTCCAGCAGCCGTAGCTGTTGTTCCGCAGGGCTGTCCCAATGCGCTCCTCCCCGCCCGCCACCACCCGCCTGGCCTCCACTTCCTGGTCGGCTCCCGCTGCCCGGCCGCCCTGGCCCTGCCGTTGGCGTTGACGCCGCCGACGCTCGCTGCTGCAGTGCCAATATGATCGCCTCCTGACGGTCAATCTGCTCCACCTGCTCCGCCACCCGCCGCCGCAAAGCCCCGAGCTCCCGCCAAAGCTCTTCGTCGTCGTGCGCGGTGGCGGAGGCGCAGCGGGAGCCGGCCCTGTACAATCAGATGTCCGTACATGCAGACGCGATAAAAAGAGACAATACTATTGACATTTTGTAGCGCCATCCGATATATAACCTTCGAACGTTGAATATTTTATTTATCTGAGGAGCAGTTGATGAACAACCGGCTGCCTTGTTCTGGAGGTGACCCAGGACGGGCTATACTCAACCCCAGCTTGACATCTACCGCCTACAAAGCGTCCCACATGCAAGCGCCTCAGGAGCCCCCCCCTTCCACTCAGTCAACCATCGCCCAGCCCTTGACGCCTCTCCTCCCTCCCCCTTCACTCGCCCATCAGCTAGGGGACAGCGCTGAATTCCTGTGTCCTGACCTATTTTCCGCCTCTACAGCTCTCCATGCTGAAAATGGCCAAAAGAGCTCCCTCACCTGGCGAGGCCGGGCTGCTCCGAAACCCCGCCACCGCCCTGCCCGCCCTTCCGCAGCGTCGCTAACTCCGTCTTGAGCGCGGCAATGAGTTTATCGTCCATTTGGGTCTTCTCCAGTACGACCGCCACCTTCGCCTTGACACTGGACAGCTCAGCCTGCCCAGGGGCAGGGACGGTGTCGTGCGGGGGGGTTTTGGGAAAAACGACAGAACATCAACCGAGGACGGCACAAGGGGGTTGTAGAAAACGAGGATGAGGATGAGGATGAGGATGTGGATGAGGTTGTGGATGTGGGGGAGAGTTGGGACCGAGGGAAATGAAGACGACGGAGATGAGGGAGCAAGACGAAATGGAACGCGCAATGGGGGAAAAAGGGGGATGAGGGGAACAGCAACATCCATGAAGAATGAGGGGCGGAGCCAAACTATAGGATGGAACGCCAGGCCATGCAGTTTGGTTTGACGTACGGTGCCGTAGAATCCACCTTACATAAAAAGGGCTGTTGTAGTTTAAACGCCCTTTCGGAAGTTCTGTTTACCTGGTAACGTTTTTGTAGTTCAGGTTCATGGTATCCGTCTCTCTTCTGATTAGCCTGGACGCCAGCGAGACGCACATGTCAACCCTAGGGGCCCCCCCTACGATAACGTGTACCTGAACCCGTTACACTCCTAGTTTGGTCGCACGAAGCCCTAGGACCACAAAATCCAGACCAACCCACCGCACCTCCAGAATCTTTCGTCGTGACGTGGCACCGTCGTACTTGAGCTTCAGCGCGTCCAGTTCGCCTCGAACTGCCATAAGCTCCAAATTGAGTCGGTTCATTTCCTGCGTGATAGAGGCACAGCAATGCCCCAGGGGTGTGCTGTCAGGCCACGTATTTCTTCCATTTTTGTTTTCCATTTTTTATTGCCGAAATCCCGTGATGGATGAAGGCGGAACAATGCCCTAATTCGAAACGCGATGTTTTAAGTATCTGTTCATGGTCATGTGCGCATCTGTGCGGAAGTTGTGTGTCAACACGCGGCAGGGTGGAGAGACGGATGAGGTGGAGAGACGGAGAGACGGAGAGACGGATGAGGTCGGCGAGCGCGGGGGCTGAGATATGGCCATCCGTAAATTGCCGTACGTAGTAGTCAACATGCTCATGCCGTGAAAATGTCGGGTACCGACTGGCCCCATTCCTCCCCCATTTTCCCCGTCCCCCGAAAGTTCGGTTCTCCACAATTGCAGCCACATGATGGAGCGGAGGCCCCCCTACTCCGCAGCTCCATCCCAAACACAAATTCCCGTAAAGCCCCCGGGGCTGCTTGCCTAGAGAGCCCAAAACACACGCGGGGCTCGTGACGTGACCGGCGTCACGTTGGGATCCCCGCAAAAACCCCAGCATCCTCTTTCCCCCCCTCTTTTCCCCCCCTCTTTCCCCCCTCTTTTCCCCCCCTCTTTTCCCCCCCTCTTTCCCCCCCCGGCCCCAGCTCACCTGGTTTCGCTCCTTGGAAATTTTGTTGATAACCCCCTTGGCCGCGGCCTCCTGCCGGGTCTCCAACGGGCCCTGACCCGCAGCCGCCTTGAGCTGCTTCACCTGCAGTGGCAGTGGCAGTGGCGGCGGCGGCGGCGGCGGCAGTGGCAGTGGCAGTGGCGGCGGCGGCGGCGGCGGCAGTGGCAGTGGCGGCGGCGGCGGCGGCAGTGGCAGTGGCGGCGGCGGCGGCGGCAGTGACAGTGGCGGCGGCGGTCGCGGGGGAGGAGGAGAGTGGGGAGGGAGCGAGTCCCAGCCTGTTCCCACCCTTAACTCTCCACCATGTCGAGCCCAGGTTGTCGTACACACTCCGTCGCAGCGCTCCTCACCTGGTCCCGCAGCGCAATGATCTGCTCCCGTCGGCCCTTCCATTCGCCGGCGCCGCCCTCATCGAGGATCTTGGACAGGGGCACTTCCTCCCCTACTTCGCGGACCAGCGCGCGAGTGAGCTTCTTGTTCTCGGACTCCAATGCGAACACCTGCCGCAGCAAGGCAGGGCAGGCCGGCAGGGCCGGGAAGGAGGGAAGCAGCTCACAGCGCGGGCAACTGGTAGAGTAGGTAAGAGGTGTGGGAGGTAGAGAAGGGAAACTGTGGGAGGTGGAGGCGAAAAGGTGTGAGGAGGAGGAAGGGGGGAAAAGACGAACCACGAGCGAGGGGAAAAGACGAACCACGAGGAAGTAGAGGAGGGGAAAGGGTGGTGGTGGTTTGGGGTCTGGATTGTGCTCGTTTTGCGGCTGGAGGGCGTGAGGGCCGCAGCGCCAACTCCGACCTTTTGCTCCAGCTGCGCGATCTTGTTCGTCGTCTGTAATAACTTCTCCTTCCACTGCGTTGCCTCACGTTGGGCCGCCTCTGCTGCTTCGGCTGCCTTCTCAACCATGCTCCGAGCCACCTCCTCGATGGCCTGCATAGGGGCCGGCAGCTGCATTGTTAGCAACAACTTGTAGTACCACAGTACGGCTTTTTGGTAGCTTTGTGAAAAGGTGCAAAAATGAAGCCAGCTTACCGCGTAGGCATGTATGGGTTGCTTCCTTACCTCGACGGGTGGAGCAGCGCCAGCTCCGCTGCTCGAAGATGGCCGGCCGCTGCTGCCACCCCCGGCAGCAAGGTCGGCTTGCAGCTTTGACGATCGCTGCTTTTCGCGCTCCAATGCCAGGTTGAGGATACGATTCTGATGGAGCAGAGAAACACAATCCCTGAGCAACTCGGTCCCGCGGGGTGCATGCAAGCAGAACCCGACTTGACTGCACCTTTTTTGATAGTTCGATAATTTTTGCTGCTTGTATATCTTGCGAAAGGTCTTGCGCAAGCTCCCTTAACGTCGCTAATTCGCTTTCCTTGTCGCGCAACTCCGACTCCAAGGCCAAGCATTTTTGCTGAAGTTCGGCAGCCTACGTAAATGGCGAGAACAGCTGACATGTTACAGCTTTGAGAACAAGTAAACTCTGCGTTAACAACCATACGTACATTCATGGCTGCTCTCAGTCAGAACTTAAACGAGGGATTTGCCAGTCGCCAGGGCGCGTTAAGTAGATGCAATGACGCTCAGCAAAAAAATAAAATAACTGTGTCAGCGTTCCGAAACATGAGAAGAGTCAAGTACGGTAAACTGCACGTACAACACAAAACGCCGTTTCTCCACTATTTTACCTCCCGATCGGCTCAAACCACATGCGGCGGGGCTCGGAATCTCACCTCTGCAGCAACCATTTCCAGACATGGCAAGATGAACGCGCGTGTGGGTTTGCACTGGTCCAACACACCGACCGAGTCCGCGAACACCACGCTTGGGTAACCACAACCGCAACCCCCGCCTGCCGCTCTGCTCCCCCTCAGGCAGCCGCGCAAACATCGTTGACCAAAGGACAAACATCAACACGACTTTGTCGCAAGCTTTGCAGTCAAGCGGCACACACGCACGGCACTCGAGTCCTGAGGCCAAGTTGCGGCCAGGAGACGAGTGCCATGCCAGCCCGCGTCACAAACAACAAATACAAAACACGGAACGCACATTAGACCAGGCCAGACCACAACCACACCACCACACCACAAGCTTCAGCAGCATACGTCATGAGGGGACTGTCCTTGCACAATTAGGGGTACTCTCTCTAGTCCACGTTATCGCAACAGTCACAAAACGCTAACTCGTCACTCCAGGACGATCACACGCACTGAGCACATACAACGACACACATAGACACCTACAAACTCCAAACAGCGCGTCTTTTGCCATTACACGCCGGATGCCATCGACAGCCCGTGCTAGCTCTCCAGACCCCTTCTCCACACAGCTCACAAGTCAGCATGCATTTTCCGCCATATTGGATGGCTAGACCTAGCAGCGGTAGCAGTTAGCCCGCGTTACAACCCCCCAACACCTCGCCTCAGGATGCACACACACGGCATGCAGAATGGACTACATCGCCTCTTTAGCGCTTTACTCTTAACCCATCATCATCATCACAACCCCTGCTCCAGCCCTCTCAACTTTCCTCATCCTGGCATCCATGCATCACCACACACAAAACGCACCTAGGCGCATCTGCCGCTCTGTCCTTTCCCTCTTGCGTACCATTCTGAATCGTCGTGGTCTTTTCCTGTCCTCGTCGCCCCCTAAAAACTGTTCCCGCAATTCCCAGTCAGGCCCCAATATGCGAAAACCCCGTAGAGAATGAGGCAGACAAAGCTGAAAGAGAAAAGAGGAAGAGAAGAAAGAGAGGGAGGGATGTGAGAGAGGGAGGGAAAGGCAGCCTGCCTCAATATGTTGGGAAAAATAACCTCTCCAATGGACGCCGCTGCTGCTCCTGCAGTGCCGACTCCAGCAGAGTGACTTCATCCTCTGGGAACCATGATCGTCATCATCGTCATAGTCATGCTCAAATCATCGTCATGATCATCATCATCATCATCATCAGCTTCGTCACCAATATCATCATCATCATCATCGCCATCATCATCAGATCATTATCACACAACCCATTGCGCAGGGCACATGCAACTGAGCATGTTCTTATGCTCTACCCATGTCGCCAACGCCGGCCTAAACACCATCACCATCACCATCTACAGTTCGAACGGAGTTTCTTTTGAACCCTACCTGTCCCTACAATCCCCCGCAGCTGCACACGTGTGACTAACATGTTTTTCTAACATGCCGCATAACCGTCCTAATCCTGGCCCTCCCTGCCGCAGCCGCGGCTATGTCGCCTCCTTTGGCCGCCACCCAGCCCTCTTCACCAGAGTACCTTTCCCCTTCTACTCGTCATTCAGTTTTGGAGCACTGGTTTCTAAGCCCGGCGCGGCCTTCCTCCACGTCCTGCGCCCAGATCCCGGATCTCACTTTTCCCGAACGCCGCCTCTACTATATTCCGCTCTTTCGGCCACCTAGTTCATTACTGCTTCCTCCCTTTGCTAGAGCCACGACTCATCCAGGTCGCCCAGCTCCAACTCCTCCAGCTGAAGGGGCACCCGCGAATCGTCGTATGATGGCATCATGAGCATACTGCTGTGCTGCATGGCGGTCTGCGGCTGCGGCTGCGGTTGCGGTGCCGGCTCGGGAGCAGGCGCGCTGGGCTGCGTGTCGATCACCACTTCCTGCGGCATAGGAGATAGCACGGGCTCCGTCGCCTCGCTTGCAGCACTGACTTGAGCCGGCCCAGCAGCCGCCTCCGTGACACTGCACACCGATTCAGAAGCCCCCCCAGCAATGGCAGTAGCGCCAATGGCCCCGGTAGGGCACATGGGCACGACCCCGCGTCCTGCATCCGCGGAGAGAGGCACAGGCAGCGCATGGCTGTCGCCAGGCGCCGCTGCCGTCGCCATGGGTTGAGACTGCTGAGCAACCGTCGACTGCTCGGCAGCTGTAGCTACTTCAGCTGCCGCAGCAGGAGCATCAACAGCGTTTGGCGGCGCCACGTCGGCACGTGCTTCATCCTGCCCCTCCTCATGCATCTCCACCGCCGCGGCTGCCTCACCCCGCCTCGCACCCACATGCGCCTCTCCCGTACAGAGTCCCCCCAACGGCGGTACTGCCGGGGGTTTTGGCTGCGGCTGGTGCTCCTGCTCGACCGCGGGCACCTGACTCGAATGCCGCACAGCAGCACCTGCCACCTGCACCTCGGCCGACTGCACGTCGTTCCCCATCACCCGCTGCTCCGCATCGCTGCATGGTTCGTCGGACACTGGCCTATTTGAGGACGTAACCGCCTCCGCCGCTTTGGTGGCCTCTCCCACTAGCTCCTGCTGCAGGTCCTGCTGCCGCCGCGCCTGCTGCTGCTCATCTTCACCTGGCGGGGCCCCCCCACAATCCACGTAAAGCACCCGGCCATCCGCAGGCGGGGCACCCATCATCGATGACCTATCATAACTGGCGGAGTCCCCAGCACCACCGCCGCCGCCACTACAGGAGCTGCGTCGTTTCTCATACTGCTGCTGCTGCTTATCCTGCAGGAGACGTAGCGGCGTTTCCTTGAGGCCTCCGGCCGCGGTAATCAACTCCCGGCTCTCCCCCTGCTCTGCTGCTGCACTCACTGGGCCCGGCGACGCCGGCGCCGTGCTATCCTGACGATGATGCGCCTGTACGACCACGGACGCAACGCACACCACCTCTGCGCTGCTACTGCCGCCGTCGTCGACCTCCATGACGATAGCATCGCTCGCCATCGCCACCACTGCCGGTCCCTCCCGCACAGCTCCCACCACCACAACCGCCGAGTCCACCGGCCCTGTCTCCAGCAGCTTTCCCCCTCCTCCTCCTCCTCCTCCTCCTGCCACCAAAGCCTCGTGCTCAGCAAGCTGCCGAGCTACGGATCTTCTTTCCACGGCCCGTCCAGCTGTTTCTATTCGCTCATCCGGGGGCTCAGCCAAACCATCTGGGTCAGCTTTTCCGTCCGCCACGGCGACATCGTCCGTGCTGCATTGCCCACAAGCCGCCACTACCTGCCCCTGGTCGGTGCTGCTTTCGACCTCCATGGGCGCGCTGGTGACAGCATCCGGCGGCAAGGCAGCGCAGCCATGGGCGGCCTCCTGCTCACCCGCGCACGAGCGCATGACTACTATGGCCTCAGCAAGTGGCGGGTCCTGCTCCTGCTCGTGCAGCCCCTCCCGTGGATGCTGTTTTTGTTGCTGTGGTGATCCACTTTGCCGCTGCGGCTGGACGCCTTCCGTCGGCGCTACCTGTACTGCCGCAGGCGCACTGACGCCGGATACACTCAGCTCCGAAAGCCCAGGCGGCGCGGCTGCTGCGGCACCGCTCCCCAACCCCCCTAACACAGCAGCGGCCGCTGTGGCGGGGCCTGGCGGCAACGGCGGCGGCGGCGGAAACCGCACGGGCGCATTTGTCGTCAGCTTCGCCGCTGCTGCCTCCTGTGCGCGTACCGGCCCCTTCTCAACGCCCTCTACCGATAGAGCTGGCCGTTTGAGCAACGGCTCAGCACCAGCAGAGGCCGACAGCCCGCTGCCGGCCGGTCCCGCCGTCACCGTCGTCGTCCTCGTCTGTGTGTTCGTCTGTATGTCGCTCGTATCACGTTCTAGTTCCCAACGGCTCCTTCGCCCGCTGGGCCGTATGTAGTACGTCACTGCTGCCGTACCTCCCTGGCTACTGGAGTTACTTCCCTCCGTGCTGCTGGCCGACGCCGCATCAGCCCCGCCGGCATTGCTCGGTCCAAGACCCGGAGGCATCGGCCCGCCGCCGCTGTCCGATATACCGCTCCCTCTATAAAAGCCGTTGGCCGCTAGAGCAGCTGATGGGGGAGCGGCGGCGGCGGCGGTGGCGGCGGCCGCGGCCGCGGCGCCAGTGCCGCTGCCGCGACTGTCCGTTCCATGAGGTGGAGACCCAGGAGGCGGCCGCGGCGGCGGTGGCGGCGGCGGCGGCGGAAGAGGCTGTGACGCGGCGCCGTGTCCGTCCTGACCGTAGCGACCATGCCAGCCCTGGCCCTGGCTGTGATGCGACGCGGCCGGGCCGGAGCCGGGCCCTAGGCCTGGCGGCGTGCGTCCGTTCGCCTGATTGTACCGATTGTAGCTCATGCCGTTACGGCCACTACCCTGGTTCTGCGCCTGGCTCTGGCTGCTGTACATGGGCGGCGGGGGGTAAAGCGGCGGCCGTTGATGTCCCAGCCCCGGAGGCAGGCTTCCTGGCGGTCCTTGGTATGGGTGTCCACTACCTATGCCTCCGGGCAAAACACCCCCAACGCCCACGCCTATGCCAGGTGGCATCGGGCCCGGTGGAACACTGTTACCAGCTCCATAGTGGCCCAATGGCGCCATGTAAACCCCCTGCGCCATGAGTGTCGCTGGCGCCGCTCCCAGGAAACTAGGAAGCCCCTGCCCCTGCGGAAAGAGTCCGGCAGCAGCGGCAGCTGCTGCGGCGGCGGCGGCAGCCGCCGCCGCCGCGGGACCCTGGGGTAGAACCCCTGGCGGACCTACGGGTCCGAGTAGTCCGGGTGGTATGAGTGGCGGCGGCGGTGGCGGCGGCGGCAGCGGTACAGGCCGCGCGCCATTTGGGTTTGAGTCCGCGCTGTAGGGATCCTGGCTCTCAGGCGCTGGGTGTTGCTGATAGGCGGGCATGACCCCTCCTGGAGCGGCCGTCTGTGTCCTGCCGCCGGCTGAGCGCCCAGGGTACGACTGAATGGCGCTGGAACGGCCGCTGCCGGAGGCATCTCCCAAGCCCAAGTGTGGGTCCTGTGCGCACATGCACACGCACATGCAGCAACCCAAACTTCTAAGGGCATTCCATTGGACCAGCTTTAGGCCATATGGGCAATGTGAGGAATGCACACCGTGCATCTTCGTCCGCTCTGAGGACACGTGCGTGTGTATGTGTGTTGTGCACACATGCGCTACGTGTTTGCCCTACCCTGGGGTATTCCCCTGGGGTCTTCGGAGACTCGCTGCAATGCCTACGACTAATACTAACATTACTACTACTACGTGTTTGTCTAATATCCATTGCACATAATACAATAGTTATTACATGTGCTTCTGTACGGGGGTGGATGGGGGGAGAGCAAGCGGACGGCACCGATGCGACGCAGCGTATGGCGGGAGGCGGCGGCGGTCGCTATGTAGGGCAGTAGCGGACGCCGATGAGGGTTGGAGTGAAGCCCAGGAGCCCGGAGCGACGGTATCGGGCTACACATCATAAGGTGGTATTTGAGTCGCACCTGTGCGCTTGCTTCTGTTATGGAACCGCTTGGAGATTTGGACTGAAGCCCGGCCTGCCGCAAAGCCACAGCAGCCCTGCCGGATTCCACTTCTAGCATCTGTTCCGCGCTATAAACATTTTCCATGCGCCAAAGTTTGAGGAGTTTATCGACTTGAGCCTGCGCATCGGTGCCAAGTGGCGTTGTGACACGCTGGTGGTAGAGCTCGAGGGACACTGCTATGGGACTCAGAGCCACAATGGGTGTGCACCAGCGCAGTAGCAAGCGTTTGTTAAACAAGCATCGGCCTACCGAGAATTCCAAGCGCAGATCCATGACCAGTGCCGACGTGAGCGGTTGCAGGCGCTCCGCTGGTTTCCGAGCACACAAGGTGAACCGTCAGCAAGGACAGTTACAGCGTAAGTCTGGAAACCTGTATCAATCTCACCATAACGGTCTCTAGGTCCCTGTTGTTTTCTTGACTGCCGCAGAAGAGTGGAAACGCAATAGAGTAGGTGCAGCTTGCCGCGCATGTTCGGCCCGCACTTGCGGTACTGTTTCTCCAAAAGGACCAGGATATGTTTGTAGCACTGTCATAAGATGAAAGGAAAGTTTTATTTACAATTGAGACACTTGGCGTCTACTCTCCGCAGGCCGTCCTCGTTCCCCTGGCCAGCCCGTCCTTTGCGTACCGTTCGCTCATGTTCTAGGGCCAAAGAGGCAAGACGTTCAAGCCGCGATGTGCCTGCCTTCTGGATGACCTGCTCAAGTTCTGTTTTGTACTCCTCCTCGATTTCCCACATAGTCGCCAGCTTAACAGTCTCAGGCAATTTCTATCATTGAATATTCAAAGGTGTAATCCAACAGGCGATGGTTGCATAGTACGTCGCTGCGTCACGTCTCAAAGCCAGATAGTCGTTGCGGCTGCGAACTAATCGGGCGCTGCAGGTGCAAGAATGTTGTTCAAACCCCTAATTGATGGAAATGTCTTGGTTGCTACCTAACTTGTCAATTGGAGATGCATTCATGTTTGTCGCGTGTCGTACTGAACCAGTTGGTCGTACAGCCTTGCAAATTCATCTGCCATCTCAAGAATCACACAGGTCGTGATGTGATTATGGAGGATATGCACCCTAGAACAATAACCCAGCATGCATACAGAGGTTATCGTTGGCGTTTCCATTAAAGGCGTTTACCGGTAATTAGGAAATGAGCAGCAACATGGCGACCGATTGTTCCTTGGCGCATATCTCTATTTCAATATGCGGTACGTCTGTATCCCTGCCAGACAGGTGAGGGGGTGCCAGCTAGCACCCGTCGTCATCCTTTGGCACCCAGAAATACAGACCACACCTCTCAAAGGCCGTTTCTCGGCCGTTGGTACGCAGGTTCCAAAGATGCTTAGGTGACAGGCGGACAGGCCAGATCAGCTGGTTAGTCCCAGCTAGATACCTATCTACACAGGTCGACGATACCGTGGAGCTGGTAGTAGCAAGCGGCAAATCGCCCTGGTGCAGATTGATTAGAAGGCGTGCCGATGGTATTGGAGATCGTTAGTTCCCAATGCCGTCTCAACTAATGGTGAGGTTTTATGTTCTGTCGTCTGCATTTCCGTGTCGCGGAAACCTAATGAATTGCCCATACACTTAAATAAATGTGATAATTGGTTTGCGGACATCTTCACCGACAAAAAATGCTCTTCAGATTGCGAAGGCCACGAAGAGTACGGCATAGTTTCGGAGGCTACTCACTACGTCGCCACGAGATTAACCCAGCCATGGCTCATGTAAATATATTTCATAAATGCATGAGCACAGATTATAATTACAACGTTTTCCACTTTTGCTTGCTTCCTTTCAGTTGCGAAGGACAGTTGATTTTCGTAGTGCGCCAATGTTGCCTTGTCCATCACTTAGCAGGTCTGGATTGCATGCAAGGAGGCGAACGCGGTATGTGAACTTTATTACTGGTTGCGTTTGAACCTGTGGCTGAAGCTTCAGCCGTTTCGTGGGCACATCCTGCGGTCGTGGACCCGAAAGTTGATTTGTAAAAGTTATCCGCCTACCGTACGTCCATCCGTCTCATCGCAGGGGAGCTCTGAGGGTTCACGCGGTTGCCGCTCCAATTATTCCGTAAGACTGGTAATGCGGACGTCTATTTGTTCCCTTTTGAACCTCTCTTGTACAAACGGTGTAATACATCTCATTCGATTTCGGAATAAAACATGTCCATTGATGTAGCTTGCAAGCTCTGACATATGACGTTTCATCCCATCTTCGCTCATTGCACGCGCACCGCAGCGGCAAGGGCGAATGTCCTTTGTACAGGGACCGAACGGGCAAGCTCATCCCGGCGATGTGTGCGGACTATGGCTTCCGCTCGGGCGCGGGCAGGTTATACCAGGAGAGCTATGGCGAGGTGCCCAAAGACGTCTGGCAACTGGTAAGTGGTCAAAGGCAGGAAAGCAAAAAGACGGCGGGTCAAAAAACCTATAGGGTTGCACCCACCATCCTGGCACAGCAAATGGCGTTTGCAGTCCAACATGGCCGCCACGACACCCCGGCACCCCATGCATTCCACGGCTCCAACCCCCCGAACCTCGCCCCCCCGCGGTTCCGCCCCCGTGGCTGCCAGGCTAAGGACAACTACCGTCATGAGCTGGAGCAGCTCCGAAGAGCCGTACGATATCCACCCTCGGACGTACGGCAGCCCTCGCATCCCGTGGCGAAGGTACGGCACATTGCGGCACATAGTAGAGCGGCCGGGCGGAATGGGCGGAGTCTAATAATCTGAATGGCGATGAAAACCCATTGTGGGCCATCATGGGACTGGGGGGAGGGGGAAGGGGGGAAAGACGAACCACACACGATAGAAGGGGGAAGGGGGGGGAAGAAATGGGGGGAGGGGTGTTCACTTAGGGTTGGTGGCGCCGTGCTTAGCCTTTTAGGACGCGGAGGGGATGAGGTATTCTGTGACATGAGAATAGGGCTCTTAAGGGGGCCCTAAAGAGGAAACTCATAGATTCTGCACTCAAGAAAAAAGATCCAAGCAATGGAATCGTGGGCAGAGCTGTACTGCGAGGGCGCTGAGCGGGTCATATATCGGCGCATACACGTCGCCCCCGCTGGATTTGTTTCATACCTGGCAAGGATCTGACGTGTGCAGTATGTGTGTCTGTGTGTTTGTGTGTGTGTGTGTGTCTGTGTCTGTGTGTGTGTGTGTTTTTTGCCGGATCACACCATGCACCGCGCAAGTCCTGCGCAACTTATACGGCAGCAGTACATCGTACTGCTGCATGTCCAGACCCCGCCCAATCTAAACGAGGTCAAAAGTAAAAAGTCGTACCCAGTACGTGAATTCGTCGTATCTGTCTCATTTTTGCCTGACCCGCATCTTCGCGGCATCAAGAGCCTGTTGCCGATTCGCGCAATGGCTACGTAGCATACACGTGCATAGCCACTTGCGGTGGGTCGAGTAACGTTTTGGGGTGCGTTGACACCAGTTGAAAAAAATGTAAAACACACCAGACACATGCACACACACACACATACACACACACACGCCCGCGCGATATCCTGTTTCGTTGCACGTCCCTCCTCTCCTCCCGTTGCAACCACCAACCTCCGCCATGATGAACTCCTCCGTCAGGCGCTCCACACGGCCAATGGGGTGGTGGGTGCCGCCCTGGCGTCCTTGGATAAGGCCCTGGAAGAGGCCCGGGTGCTGCCGGAGCTACAGCCGCCGCCGGTACGAAGTGCCTTAGAGACCCAGGAGTTCAAGGAGGTGAGCCGCGGGTGTGTGCGGGTGTGGGTGTGGGTGCGGGCGGGTGTTAGTGGGTGTGGGTGGGTGTTGAGACAGGAGGAGGAGGGGAGAGTGGATGTTGATGGGTGGGACGGGGGGAATATATAGAGCGGGTGGGTTTGTGTGGGGGAAAGGGCTGCGCTTGTGGCGGCGGTGTCAGTGTGTTGGCACTTGTGTGCACTGTTAGGAGATGCCGCAGGCCAATTTACATCGCATGTCGCGATCTGGATTTCCTGATATGATTTTATATGATTTGAAACTTTGTCATTAAGGTTTGACCGATCATGGCTATGCGCGTGTCGGTGTCAAAACACACACTTGCACACACACACACACGTACACACACACACGTACACGTACACGTACACGTGGTTGATATACTCTGAACCTGCCGGCCCGTCCATCAGCCAGCGAGAAAACACGTCACGTGCAATGTTCTCCGTCGTTGTCGTTGCAGATCCGCGCTCGCTTGGATCAATTACGGCTGGATGCTGATGACGTCATTGCCGTGGAGCGAGAACGCATCGCGACGGGTGGGGGGGATATGGAAAGCCCCCTATGGGTCAAGGCGCCCTTCTACGCGCTGTGCTGGCTGTTGGATATCATGTACGACAACAAACCGATAGAGGTACGGACGGAGGTGGGCCAATGTCGGCGGCGGAGTGAAATCTTATTTTCTTTCATAGTTAGATCAGCTTCTCGTCATTGTGATTGTTATTGTGATGAAACGGGTTTTATGCTGGTTCCTTGACAGTTGGTAGTTAGTTGTCGGGCAGTTATGATCGTTGGCAATAAAATGAGGTTTGTGAGGTTTGTCATTATTATTTGTTTTCTGAAGTTCAGGGTTTTTGAGAGCTAAAGATGTTGTTCAGTCTTTTGCATAATGCCGTAGCTGGTTGGTTGTTCGATTGGTTGCCGTTCGCGCTTCAAAATATTGGTTACAAGTCGGTTGTCACTTGCCAATGCCGTACGTAACTTTTGCCGACGGTCAGTTACTGGGCAGTTGCTGTGGGCCTGCGGTTTGGCTGTTTGTTGCTGTGGGCCATTTTCTTCTTCTGTGACTTCAACATCACCCGAATACTCCTGACGGTGGTCTTTAACCCCCGCTGGGAGGCATCACAAGATAGAGCCTCATCATCCGCCCCTACATGTGCACCCGCAGAAGTTCTGGGTGCTTGAGACCGTGGCTCGTATCCCGTACTTTGCGTACATCTCCATCCTCCATCTGTACGAGTCCCTAGGGTTTTGGCGCGCGGGGGCGGAGCTCCGTAAGATCCACTTTGCTGAGGAGTGGAACGGTGAGCTGCCTGCGTTTATTGATTTTTATTGATTTTAAATAAAATTTTAGTGATTTTTTAGTGATTTTTAATACTGTTTAGTGCCATCGGAAAGGGGTCGGCACCAGTATAGTGCCCAGGGGGGTGGGGGGGTGGGGAAATCAAACTTATAATTATAATCCCGAGTGAAGTGTAGGGTAGGAGGTCTGTCTAACTTTCCCGTGTCAGGTGCTGTTTACCTAGGGTTTTGCCCTGAAACTTTGCTCTCTGCCTTTTGACCAACAAGAAGCATGGTTTGTCTCTACCTTCCCGGGGCTCACCCTCCCCCCGCCCCCCTCCCTCCCTTCCCCTTTCGCTGTTCCCCGCGGTGGACTTCCTGCGCGTGCTGAACCCCTGCGTTGATTTATTTTATCATCACCTTGCGCGCTGGCGGACAGAGATGCACCATTTGCAGGTAGGGTGGGGGGAATGGGTGGGGAGGTGGGTGAGTGGGGGATGAGTGGGGGTTGTGGGGGGGATTCGGTGTGAGTGGGGGCTTGGGGGGTGGGTACGTGCGTGGAGTTACGTAGGACGTGAGGGCAGTCATGGGGTCAGGAAAAGGGGGAAGTAATGGGTACATGTGCGGGGTTTCTTTTGCACCGAGTCCGGCGCATCGCGTTCGACATTTTATAATTGTATTACCGTTCACTATTTTTTAATTAACCGCCACTTCGCACTCTTCGCAACAAACCTAGTTTCCCGTTTCAAACGCGGGATTATTTTAAACATTGCAAAACCATTTTGAATCCAATGTCATGACCATGCTGTTGACCGCGTTGAATCAGGAGAAGCCTGGCATGGTCTTGAATTGACTTTAATTTCCCGGTTGAAAAGAAGAAGAATTTAACAATCAACAATGGCAAGATGCAAATTATTAGCTGTGTAGTTTCATGTAAGAGTGAAGAGGCCGATTCCTTCCACCTGAGGCTGCTGCGTCCGCCCTACATCGCCTTCGCACCGCCTCCGCATCCCCCGCCCGCCCACTCCCCTTCCCTCCCGCCTCCTGTGTCTCTGTGCTGTGCTGTGCTGTGTTAGATCATGGAGAGCCTAGGGGGAGATCGGGCCTGGATGGATCGCTTCATCGCCGAACATTCCGCCGTGTTTTACTACTGGGTAAGTGTCCGTTATGTTCGTTATGTTGTGGGTGTATGTGCCATGTGCCTTGCGCGCATGTCTTTTGAAAGTGTTGTAATAAGTGTCTTTGACGTTGTGGTACTCCTCGCCTCACACCCAACACCTCGATTACCCTTCTCTTCTGCTCCCTTTCCTTGTATTTAGACAGCCGTCGGATTCTGCCTGGTTCTGTCTCTACTTCTGTTGTTTGTCTGCCAGTCAGTCCGTCTGTCGGTCTGTCAGTCTGTATTTATTTCCCTTATCTTCCAATGTTTTCCTCCCCTTTGCCAGCTCCGCTTCCACCACAGCGTCCATCGCTGCCTGGCGCGTTCTGCCTTGAACTTGTGGTTCGCCCGCACCCGGTGCAGGTTTTGATTCTCTTCTACCTGGTATCTCCCCGGATGGCCTATAACTTCATGCAGCGGGTGGAGCTGCACGCTGCGGACACATACAGTGAGGTTTCTTGGGTGGGAGGCTCTTTGCGAGCGGAGGGTGGAGTGGTTATGGTGGTGGTGGTGGTGGGGGGACGGGAACACGGGAACACCACACTGCAAGCCTGTCGCACCCGCCACTGCGCCTGCCAGAACTGTTTGATCGAGAAGCCGTTGTGGCCCGCCTTCGCCCCTTCCTCACCTCCCCGTGTGACCTGACTATAGGACCTGACTACCTCGCGCCACCCCATCCCCATATCCCATCCCCCCTTATCCCCTTATCCCCCTTATCCCGGTCGCCGCCTTCAAGAACGCCTTTTGGTCAGTTCTACTTCTGGTACACTCTTGCCCTGGCAGCAGCTTCACTCGTTCGTGGTTCGTTTTTCCCCCTCATCCCCCTTTCCAACCCCCCCTATTCCATACTCCTCCACAGCGGCCTTCCTTCAGCGAAACGCTGCAGTCCTGGAGTCCATCCCGCCTCCCATGGTGGCTCTGCAGTACTACTATTCGGAGGACCTGTACCTTTTTGACGAGTGAGTGCCGTGACGAGTGAGTGAGTGAGTGGGAACCTGTTGTTTTTTGAGTGGATAATCTCCATTCGGGCTCGAACAGGTGATCTCCGGCTCGGGTGAGTTATGGCTTGAACCGCTTGTCTCCGGCTCAAGAGCGGCGGTCTGTCGCAGCTATCCGATTTGTAAGCCTGCTTGGGTAGCTGGCTCGGGTGGGGGTTTTGCTGGGCAGGCCGGCGAGTGTGAGTAGCGAGTCTTTTGAGGCCTCTTACGAAGCCAGGCGGCTTCCCCACTTTGCAGCGTCGTGGTGCGCTTTTTCTGGGATAATATGCGTTTTTTTGGATAATACGCTCAAAACCTCCTGCTCACCCATTAGTTGGCGTTGCGCAAGTGCAGGTCTTTCCTGTTTTCCTAACTCCCCCGTGGAAACCCCCCGCCCGCTTTCATCGTTATGGACCCCGGGAAGTTGCGTCTCAGGGTGTCGGCGGTTGGTTAGTGTTTTGTTTCTGGCATCTTGCATAAGATTGGAACCCCTCCCCCCGGTTGCGCCCAACCTCCGCAGGTTCCAGACCGCCTCCCGCGGCGCGCCACCTCGACGGCCTCGCTGCGAAACCCTGCTGGATGTCTTCAAGAATATCCGGGACGATGAGATGGAGCACGTGAAGACCATGATTGCCTGCCAGAATTCCACAATCGCAAAGGACATTGCCGCCGCGTCAGCGTCGTCGTCGTCGTCACCGTCACCGTCAGCGACGGAGCTGCCGGCACCGGCGACGCCGCCGAAGCGCGCCGCTGCCTCCACCGTTGTGGAGGAGTAATCGGGTCTTGGCGAATCAGAGACGGATGGTTTGAATTCGACTGTGGAAAGTGCAACGCGTCCCGCTGTACCTAATAACGCTTTTTATGTGCGATCTAACTTTGATTCTGCTTTCCTCTTGTCCGGCAAGTTAACATTTTTTGTTGGCCTGCTTCCGGCCGCTTGGCCGGGGTACGGGTACTGTATGTCTGTACGGCTTCTGCACCCGAGGGTGTGGCGGCTGGGGGCAGGCCGTTGTGGTGGAAGTGACTCCGCGTTGCGATGGCCCCGTGGGGTGATGTCTTACCGATCATGAAAGAACGTGCTATAGGTACCGGAAGGGAAGCGTGCATTGCGCGAGCTCCTGCCTAGAGCTGCCACACTACATCAATGCCGTACCGCTGCGAACTCAAGTTGTCGTTTTAGAGAATAAAGCTCGATGGTTGAAGCTGATTTGGGCGATTGGTGAACCTCCATGCGTGGTACGGCAATATGCTACTTTCCTAGGACAGCGTGAGCAAGAGTGTGTGTCTCCAAGGGGCATCCTTCTTAGGTACGACTTGCCGTTGTGAGAGTCACGTCTTCCCGTGTGCAGCGCAGCGCACCCTGTGTATTATCAGCGCAGCAGGTGGGGCGATCCCGAGCAAATGTCGGGCTGTGCCGATGTGTTCTGAAAAGTACAGAGCTGCAGGGGACTTGTTTCTCGACAGGATCTGTGCTTTTGACGACCCGGATTTGGCAGCCATCCGCGGCCAAGTTTGAGTTATTCCAGTGCGCTGCATGAAAAGATGCAATAGTATAGTACGTTGTGAATTTCCGACCTGTTTACGGCTGTGCATTGTGGCCGTGCGTGATATGCGTCTGTTCACTGCATATGAGCGGAAGATGCGTTGGGAGCTATGGGGACTACCGCGTATGGATGTATGTACCATCTAATCGATCCATCATGGCAATTAGTGCGTTGACGCGTATACTTGTGACGTACATATGTTGTTGCTGTTGTTGTTACAAGGTCGTGGGTGCGTTCCCCGTACCTGCAAACCACCCTAACACGAGCCGAGGGCTCAAGGGCTGCTAGATCGCCTATAAGCACCATCCTACCTCGCACTTCAAACGAAACAAGTGATGAAGGATACTAATGACCAAAGGGAACGATATAGAGTTGCGGTGGGACCATATAGTTTCCTGCATCCTTGCCAGGTGTTCAGTTTCCCACTTCATAGCGTCCTTCATGTGATCGAAGCGTGGGAAATCCATATCAGACCTACGTACATATGCGTGTCAGTATGCCAACATCCGTGTCTTCGAGGAATGGCGGGGAAGGCAAGTTTTTTAGGAGCGAGCGCACCATCTAAGGAACCGTAATTAAGTAAAGCCGCCATGCGTGCATTACGGGTATGTTATGGAGATACGTTGTGTGATCAGGACATCATGTCTGTTAGCACGTCATATGGCGTGACAACGATTCTGTGCGGCTGTTGCCTTTAAGCTTGATGTCGTACGAATTTACGTTATATCTCGCAATGCTGCCGAGGTATACATGCCTCCATGTGCGCGTACATGAAATCCATGTACAACGGATGGTCAGTCGTACGATAATCCCTCTTCCATGCATATTTACTCTACCGCCTGTACCTCACTTCGTGAACGTCCACAAGTAAACAACGCTCTCCTAGCCTGCAGTGAAGCCGGAAACAAAATCCATGAGGACTCTGTTCTGGGACGCAGCTGAAGACATCGCATGTCGCAATTGCAAACTGTGTGGTGGAATGTGGTGGCTTGTAAGCATCACCACACAACACGCATACAGGGCGGACGACAACAACATCTGATCTAAGTTTTCTTTAGGACAGATTGCAGCAGGATCTGGGTATATAGCCCCAGATGCTCGTCTGTCAGGACTACGAACCACACACCAAACCAAATCGGCACATTAAAAAAACTCTAGCAAAGCATAACGAATTTCCAAAGCTAACCAAGCTCAAGCACAAAAAACAGACATGTAACTTGCAATGCGACATTGAGAAGCAAGCTAAGTTCGCAACCCACACAAAAGCCACTTTCGTAAACACAGAGGTCACCTACACACGCACGAGCAACAACACAGCTCCAGAACCCTAACGAGACAGGAAGCGTTAAAAAAAACAGTTGCATATTGCATGTAACACAACCGAAAACATAAAATACCCGACACTGCCTTGCATACGTTCAAATGCTCATGAAACGTACCTCATGAAACAAGGTTTTCCAAGCGACTGTAATAATGAAGCGGCGGAGTCAGGGAGCTAAAACCCGGTGGGAGGGCTCTCTACTGTCGAGGACGTGCGGTGGGAAATCAGCAAGGGTTCGCGACGCGCCACGCGTTGTTACGATGCATAATCGGTCACGGCGATATTTTTACCCTCCCACCCCATGCTACATCACCCCAAAAGACAAAAAGCTTGGCTGCGGCGGTTCTTCCCTCCAGGAAAACCCATCCTCACGCACGCGCGCGCGCCGCGCGCACACAATCCTCCTTCCCCAAACCCTGCGGGATAGTCCCCCTGGGCTCCAGCCCATCTTCCCCGGACCGCCCCCTCCCTCACCATTCAAGATATGGTAGCACTCACCCTCAACCATTCATCGGCACCCAAGCGCCACACCCCAGCGGCTTAGGACCGTCTGACTTTCCTGACCTAATATGTACCCCACCATTCATCCCAGCCGTTGGGTATTTTGTCCGCGTCCGCTTTCCATCTTTGCTGCTTTCCCACTCCGTGTGCCCCTTCATGGACCCCAAGACTCCACCTGTTTTCCCCTTCCTAAGCCTCCCGACAAGCTGTGGTCACTGCCGCCGTTACCGCCCTCCGCATCCCCCACCAGGCCATCATCCCTCCGGCAGCAGGCACACCGAGCGCTTTCCCTCCCGTCATCGCGTTTTGCCGCCGCTGCAGCCGCAGTCTCCGTCCCTTGCAGACGCAGACGGCGACCTGTTTCTTTTACCTCATGCGATAATTCTGCGTGTTCTTGGCTTGCCCTCGCTCGCCCTTGAACTCGTAGTCGATGGTGATGTCCAGGTCGCGCGGGTTCTTGGCGTTGGGTTTGCAGTGGAGGGAGCCCTTGATGGTCTCGTCCTTGCAGGCGATCTGCGCCATTTAGGTAGTCCAGGGGTCGAAAGGTAAAAAAAGACAAGACGAGCGTGCAGAACCAGACCCTGGTCTGGTGTGTGAAGAGACGGCACGAATTGTGTAAGAAGGGTTCAGCTCCCTTGGCATTTCCATGAGTACTCTACTTGCCTGGTGTTACAAAGATTGGGATGAAAATGAAACTGCTCGCCTGGTTTGCCACAAGGCACTGCAATGATCCATCCATCCCTCCGGCCCCCCCCCCGGGCCCCCCCCGCAGCCAGCCTACCAGCGTGTCCTCCAGGTAAAACACGGTCTGCTTCCAGTGGGTGGCACGGTTGCGTGGCGAGGTGGAGAAGCCGAGCTGCTTGTGCCCCCGCGTGAAGGCCACGTCGAAGAAGGCCACCAGCGCGTGCACGTAGTCGTTGCGGTTGAGGGTGAGGGAGAAGGGCACCGAGAAGCTGGCGTCCTCCTTCTTCATGGTCGAGATGTCCACACTGACCACCGTCACGGTGGTGGTGGCAATCTGAAAGTGGACGAGGGGAACAGGGTGATGATGAAAATGATGGCGATGAAATGTCAGGAAGGCAGCGCGGAAGAGATGAGGATATGAAGGTTGTAGGTCGGGGGGTTCCAGACAGGCGAAAAGGGCTTCCGGGAAATGCGTAATGGCAAGGAAAGGAGAAAGGCAATGGCAATGGCAAAGAAAGAGTTTACTTGGTAAAGAACAAAGCAATAGTCACTTGGGACACGACACCACCGTAAGCGACCCAGATGGGCGGTGTGTAATAGGATGGGAGGTAAGGAAGGAAGGAGGCGGCGGTAAGTATAAAGCGAAAAGCGATGGCTGCCAGAGAGAATCCCCTCTCAACTGCCCTCCCCTCCCCTCCCCTCCCCTCCCCTCCGCGCCCCGCATCTCATCATCCATTTCACCTCTCTCCTACTTCCAGCTCCGAAACACTGAGACCCCCGTGAGTGCACACCTGGTCAGGCTCCACGATGTCTACCAGAGGCTCGGCAATCGCCAACTGGCGAATACAGCTCATGTTGAAGCCGTACACGTTGTCCCAAAACTCAATCTTGTCGTGCTGGGGTGCAAAATTTACAAAAAGAGGGAAAAAAGGAGGGAAGGATAGGAAAGAGCGCATTCGTGGGTATGTGGTGGTGGTGGTGGGAAGACGGAGTTGGAAACACGGCCGCGGGGAGAAACAAAGGGGGCCCGCAGGCTGACTAAGAAAGAGGACGGAAGTGGGGTTCTGGGGTGAGCTTCCGGAGCTGAGTGCCGAGTGGCATTGGAGGTCTCTGGCCTTGGCTATGCAAGATGCAGTTCTTCGGGGTAAATGGGAAACGACGGGGGAGAAAACTTAAGAAAGACCTCCACGCCTCTGGAGGTCCCTTTCCCCCTTTCAGGAAGAACCTCTCCTACCCCCCTCCACCTTCCCCATACACCATACCCTCCACCTTCCCCATACACACACAAAAAGCGCAGCGCCGCGCTCCCTCTCCCTCCCCCGCCAAATCCCACCCAAATCGCACCTTGTACTCGCCATCCTCGATGGCGCACAAACTCAGGGTGGCCTTATCAGGCATGATGATGCCGTCGGGAGCCAGCCACTTGTCCCGCGCGTATAACACGGTGTCCAACATGGACTCGTAGAACAAAAAGTAGCCCATCCATTCGCTCACAATGATGTCGACCTTCTCCACCGGCAGCGTCACCTCCTCTACCTTGCCCTTGATGATGGTCACGCGGTCCTCGTAGTTGTTATCTTTGACGATTTGCTTGGCCTGCTCAGCGATTGTACTGCATTCGATGCCGTACACATGTTTAGCGCCGGCCTGTACGGCCGGTACGTCACAAGGTGGAGCTCGAAGGAGTTCGGAAGCGGTACGGTAGGGACAGATAAGGTAGAGCGAGAACACCTACGACTGATCAAATTCACTAGGTCTATCTCCGGCAGGAGATTCAAATTCAGTAGGTCTCCGCTCAGCCGCCGCCGCCGCCTTTTATAGCCATATACAGCAGCAGCCGAACTGCTGGCGACATCGCACCGGTGACCGCTCAACCCCAATTTCCTCATGGGACATCGGCGGCACGCGGCTACCGAACCTATTCCCCGAACTACTACTCCAGGGCTCCCACCCAGTGTGCCTCCGCACATCTCGCCTTGATGAGCATATCTCGCGCCTTCGCCCCTACCACCACCACCACCACCCTGCCACGCCCCAGCGCGCGCGCGGTCCCGCCCGCACAAACCTTTGCGCTGAATAGGGACAGAATGCCGGTGCCACATCCTATGTCCAGAACGATCTTGTCCTTGAACAGGAAGGCGTTGTTCATGATGGCGCTCATGTAGGTCCGCGTGCGGACACTGTCCTTGAGCATCTCCTCATGGATGCCTGACGGCGGGAAACAACAGGAGGGAATGAGGAGGGAATGGGGAGGGAAGGGGGAGGGAATGAGGAGGGAATGGGGAGGGAATGAGGAGGGAAGGGGGAGGGAATGAGGAGGGAATGAGGAGGGAAGGGGGAGGGAAGGGGGAGGGAATGAGGAGGGAATGAGGAGGGAAGGGGGAGGGAATGAGGAGGGAAGGGGGAGGGAAGGAGGCGGAGAAGTATGTGTAGAGGTATGTGTAGAGGTGTCTATCTTCGAAGCAAGAAGAGGAAATCGAGGTGCTGGCGGGCCCCTCTTAGGGTCGGAGACGGTTGCGTTTGGGTTGGTGGACGTGGTGCTGGGTGTGGGAGTGATAAGATGCTCTAAGAACATGTGTGTGCTCGAACATGTGCGCTGAACGTGGGGATTGGGGGAGTTAACTGTTGGTGGGAGTTATTGGGGCGGGGAGTTAACTGTGTGGTGCGCAGGAAAGGAACTTGCGGCATCTGTGCCGTGGAACTTGCGGCCGGGCTCCAAGTGTCAGGAAGGTAATGGGACGGGACTTCGGACGGGAGGTGGCGACGTACAGACGCAGGCATGGGCGTAGGCATGTCATAACAACACAGAGATGTGGGCCATGGATGCATGCGGGGGTCAAGGCAACGGGGAGGTGTGACAGAGGAGTGCAGCGACAGCGGAAAAGCGGATTGAATAGACGGGAATTTGTGTAAAAGTCACCCGGACCGCGCGCGATATGGGCAGTCCTAGAGTGGACATGGAAATTAATTCCCCTGTGCAGGACAGGCCTCGATACATGAAACCCCCAGCATATGCTTCTTGGAAGCTTCTTAAGTTCGTTAAGGTGGGTGTAATTGTGGGTGCGGTTGTAATTGCCGCACGAAGGGGGAAATTCTGCGGAACTCCTTGGCCGAAGGCAGTGCTAGTGAAGGGGAATGTTTTGAGGACCAGAACGTCCTGTGAGCCTTTTATGCATTTGCGGTGTTAGCAAAGTGAGAGAAAGCAGTACAGGGCATGGGGTCCCCGGGGTCGCCACGGTGTCTCAGTCAGCAAGGGTTTGACCCAGAGGCCGCTGACCAGCGTGGTTTGGTGCACTTCCCCTATGTACGGGGACTCAAGGAGATGACATACAATTCTTGTGATGTGCTACATGCTAAGGAAGTGTTATCTGCTTTGGCGGCTGGGGGAATGGCGGCGGGTATGCCTACCATCCCAACACAAAACCTGCACTTTGCAGGTTCCATGTATTTCACCACACTTACCGAAATGCGAGTAACTGTCGAAATAGTAGTTTGCTGACGTAAGGTCCGACTGCGAAACCATGGAGATCGTCGGGTGATATCGACACACAAGGCAAGGAGGGGGATGAGCGGGGTAAACAGCATTCAACAGCTTATGAAAATCATTTTCCCCTGCAGCCGGCACACGCACAACGTGCACACCTGCGCTGCGCCAGCCGACGGAGTTGTATCCATTTGATCAGCCATGTTTAATATTGGCCTAGGATTATGTTTATTGTCCTAGTCTCAGCGGGGCGCAAGTGGCAAATAGACACATTGTATTAGAGTGTGACTAACATGGCGTACCTTTTCGAGAGGAGCCCGATCAAATACACATATTCTCATGCATGTTATTGCATAATTCGACAGATGCAAACATCTCCTTATACTTACGCCATTAGCTATTTTAGCTTCTAGCGCTTTGCATCGTTTAAGGCTTTTGCGAAACCATGGCAACTTGCCCTCTTGGATTTGGCGGTCAGGGAGCTGGAAAGGATGAACTATCGCCTTATCACTGTGTCCTTTGCCGGGGCCTGCTGCACGACCCCGTCGTCACAAGCGGCTGTCGCCACACCTTCTGCGCGTTCTGCGTGCGCCGCTTCCGTGATTGCCCTGTTTGCGGCGCCGACATCGATAGCACCAAGCCTGACACCTCTTTAGCTTCCACAATAAACAAAATACTACTGGGCCACGCGAAGCTCATGTCCAAGCCATCCGCTGCAGCACCGCCGCCGGGCATCTGCCCCGCTGCCATCGCTGCCTCGACCTCCGCGAAACCAGCCTCCTGCCCCGTGACCTCCGCTGGCAAGGCCCCGGCTGGCTCCGGAACCTCGGAATCGAACCTAGACCTTCCATCATTACTGCTGCAGCTCGCGCTTCAGTCCTTGGCCGGAGGCAACCCCGAGGCTGGCTTGGCCCGCCTGGACTTGTGCACGGACGCCCTGGTCGCGCCGCCAAAAGACCCAGCCGCCCCTGGAACTCCCCCTTCCGAGCCCGCCTACCAAATCACGACCACTAATACCGCTGATGTTGCAGCTTCTACTGCCACTGCCGCAGCCAGCCTCGTTCCTGCGGTCGCTGCCGCCGATGCAGCAGCTTCCCACCCCACCACCCTTGACGAGGACCAGGTCTTGCGCCCGCACCTCGCGGCGGCGGCAAAGGCCAGCTCCGAAACCGCCATCCGGCTGGGCACTATCCTCGGCTGCAAGGCCGACTGCTACCGCCGTCTTGGCGATCCTGCCGCTGCGCTGCGTTACTACGCTGCCAGCTTGATCTGCCTGGCTCATTGGCGGGGCCGCAGCAGAGAAGCGGACTCGGCAATCTCTGTGACCCACAACAAACAGGGCGATTTGCTATTCATGTCGGGCCGCCTGGCAGAGGCGAAGGAGCAGTATGAGGCCGCGCTGGAGATACGGCGTGAGGTTGTGTCTGCAGGGCCACCGGTGAGGGAGACGGTTGCCAAGGGCGCGAATGGCGAGGCGGCATTGGCAACGGGAGCGGGTGCGGAGGGATGCGCGCAGGTGGCGGTTGTCCAGGACTTGTGTGATTTGGCTGTCAGTTTGTGCAAAGTCGCGGATGTGGGTTTTATGCTGAAGGAGGAGGCGGAGCAGCTGCGTCTGCGGGAGAAGCCGCAGCAGGGAGTGTCGGAAGGGCAAGCAGCGGACCCCGCGGTAGAGCCTAACCAGGCGGCGGATGAGACAGAACAGGAGGATAAGCAGCAAGGGGAGCAGCACGAGCAAGATCAAATCTACATGGCCAAGTTAGGCGATCTGCTGAGTGAGGCACGAGGGGTGCTGCTACGCTCAGAACTTCTGCCGTACGCGCGAGCCTGCGGACTGGCGGCGGCGGCAGTGGCGGGGGGAAGCAACGGGCAGGCCCGGGGAAGGCAAGGTAGTGGCGGAGGCGGTTGGGAGGCTGCGCTCGCGCCGCCGCTGGTGACGCGGTACGGCAAGGTTTGGGGTGCCATGGAGCAGCTGAATGGCAGGCTGCGGGAGATGAAGCAGAAGAGATAAAACAACGGTGTTAAAGCATCCTCCCATGGCCACACACGACGCGGCAACAACAGGAAGTGAGAATACCACAACCGTTTTCCTAGATTTTAGCTTTTTTGTTCTATTATGGATCGCAGGTAGCGAAGTACATTGCGAGGTAGGACATGCGTTATGCAGGAGATGTGCACATGTGAAAATCCTTCAGCAGGCTTCCCCCTCCTCTTCGTCATATGTCGCCCTGAGCCGCTGGCGGAAGGGAAACGTCCGAGGCATACCATAACGAGGATGGGCTGTATTTTCGTAATTTCGATATCGATGTCAGCGGCGGAGCGTCGTCGCGGGTGTGCGCATGATGACTTGTGTGCAACTGAGCGGAGTGCCATGTAATTTTACATTTTCGGCCAGGCAAGAATAATGTGGTCGTGTCGCAGTAGTTCCCGGATTTATCATATGTGCAGGAACGTCTGCTGTTCCAGGGGGGGGCATGTGTCTTTCGGGACTTTCCATGCAGGTCGCGTTTGGATGGGGTATCTTTCGAAAAAGAGACGAACCACTGCACTTTTTTTCGCATCTCGCTCCAAGAGGCTGTGGACGGAGCCGCCAGTGTGTGGGGGTGTATTCATGTTTGTTTAGCTGTCTCCTTGGTTTCGGAGCTCATTCGTTCTGGCATCTAAAAATCCTTACGTCTATCTTCTCACATATGCGCATTATTATTAAGGCACGCCCGCGCGCGCTCGCGCGCTGTGGACTGCGCAAACCCTCCGTGGGCTGCTGCCGATGCATGAGTGGTCGCAACATGCGCGACGTTTTGCGCAAAGTGGTGCTACTGCTGTCTGTTGTTAACCTCAGCCAAGGTGCCGCAGCTTTGCTTTCGTCCTCGGGTCACAATGGACGGCGACAAGGGCTCGGTAATTGTCCAACAACAGCTATCGCAACCGAAGCCATATGACTCTACTCGCCTCGTTTGGTTTATCATTTTCATCGCTGCGGGCCTGGGAAGGGGAAGTACGTATGGCGCTAGTTTTTTTTGCTTTAATGCCTCGCGCATCTTTTTTTCATCCCTGTGCGCGCGTTGGAGTATGTTCACTTTGTGGGGTTTTAGTGGGGCTACACACGCACATCCTCTTTTGTTCAAAATCATCACAACGCTTGATAGCTGTGTTGCTGTGCTCTTTCTTTAGTCTCGATCTTTCATTGGCAAGCGAGTCAGGTGGGGAGGGTGCTAAATGAGAGTGCTAGATGCGGCTGAAAGCAGAGGCACGCAGTAGTAGGCAAAGCCTAGGGCGAAGGTGTGTGCATCAACAGGGAACATCCGCTCTTCACTTAATGACGCCGTTGGTCCCCTTGGGTTGCCGGACGGGGGAGTATGCGGCGTCTTGCGAGGATGGAGTACAACATTTTCAAGTACAAAACGCGCATCCTGTCTCCCATGCACATATGGGGAAACCGAACGAGGCGAGGTTGTTGAATTTTACTCGTTCAACCTCACACACACATACTTCGTAGGTATATATGTGTGTGTGTGCGCGCTCCGGAACTCCCAGTGCTAGTCCGGCAGAGGCCCATTGAAAGTCTCTGTGCACTTGTCCAGCCAGCTGGCCGGCCTGTGGAGCCGCGCGCATTCCTGGTGCCGCCCTTCGCTGTGTCTTCCAGCTGGGGCTATCTGTACAAGCCTTGTGGGGCGCATTAGAACCGTGTCATATGTCAGTGGACAGTTAGTCAGTTAGTGCATGTGTAGCGTCTTATTGGCGGTAAGGCAGCTCCTATAAGGTAATGTATAGATCATGGCCTTTAAAAGGCCTTTTTAAGAAGGACTGTTAGCGCTCTTCCTTTTATTTAGCTAGCTAGCAGGCTGCCTTAATGGTATATCATATAATGGTATTACCATATACATATGAGCTTATATACACATACATACAGGTGTTCGGCACAGCGATGCTGGCGACATATTTTGTTCCGTATGGTATCATCAGGCCTAGGTTTTGATTAAGTTATGTCTCGTCGTACGTGTCGTAGTACATCATCAAGAGAGTGTGCGGGTGCACGCCCGCGGTAATCTCTGTTATCCACTCGGTGGAGTCGTAGTGTGCGTAGGTGGCATCTATAGCACAGCGCAGCAACGGTAACGAGCCCTCGGAGTCGCTTGTTCCAGTTCCGTGTAATACCGTGTAACCAAGGTTGGCGGCAGTGTAGTACCCTGCCCAGGTGTACCACGGGATTTGCATCCACCAATCGCGATCGGTAATTCTCTAATTCTAAAAAAAGTCGTGATACAACAGGCAGGCAGAAGTGCTCATGTAATAGTACACAGGTACAAGCAAGGCGCGGAAGTGTGAGAAAACTTGACGTGCTTTTAATATGGAGTTATATTTGGGACATTAAGACGCGGATTTTATCTCCGTTGTGAATTTTGCCATAATATACGTAGAATAATAAATATAGTGCCAGTGGCGTATCAGCTTCTACTTCGTCAGCTGCACAGGGGAGGGACGAACGTGGTCAGGACTAGGGTACACTCAGCAGCTACTTCTTCAAGAAGTTCGATGCGGAAAAGGGCTCGGCCCCGGTGCAGCCAGTCGTCCTGGTGCAGCCAGTCGTCCCGCGGTATTCTGCAGGGGAGGCTGTACGCCACTGGGCTGCAAGTGAGAAGGAACGGTGTCGTGTTTGGGCTAATACGCTCATTATTATGGATAGCTCCAAGGGCCGTGGGTGCGGCGGCCGGTGGCGTTGGAGTGATGTATGAAACTGGTGTATATACACTTGCTGCTAAGGCGGCGATGCAAATCCATGGACGGTGCATTGCGCGCCGCATCCATCTCAACCGGCTGAGCTTGGAACCCAGCCTCCTTACCACCCGAACTGGAGAATAGTACATGTGTAGGAAGTGCGTGAAATGTTATTCAGAATTACATACGCAATGTTTTAGTAATTTGTACCGCAGCGTCATCCGAACTCCCGAAGGGCAAAGGCGCATATAAATGACGATATACAGCGCCGCCGCTGCAGCAGTGATCTGTGGTTTTTATCTTTTGCTGATTATTCCACAATATTATCCCATCTTGTGTGAAAAACAAGTGATTATGCTCATGGGCTGCGTGAGAACGGTATTGCCCGTTACATGATTGCCTGATTCCCCGCACTACATCTTTACTACCAGTATATCATATGAACCGCATACAATACTTATTAGGTTACTCCCTGCCTTCACCTCGTATAAGATTACATACATGCACGCCGATACATCAACTATATAAGCATACACAATCCATGAAATATAAACGCACTGCACGCACACGCATTAAGACACTTCTCTATTTCTGCTGTTCAGTTCGCATGAAGCTATTAACCCATCAATATTGCAAACCCGCATAAACTTTACCTTTTCCTCCTAATAACGAAAACTTTATACTACAACCCGTTGGAATCCAACGACAAAACTACTAACACGCAGATAGACCCGCACACATAACAGTCGATGTGCAGATGTTCTTGGACTTTATTATTATTATTATTTATAATAGCGATGACGTTATGCACTCCAGGATGTGGACATAAAAGACTGTTTTTGACCTCAATTTTTTGTCGTCTAACGATCGCAAGCAAAAACAAAGCCGTCCACGCGCGGTGTCTGGGTATCGACGGAAGAAACGGGACACATACGCCGTCGCATGTCACGCGGGTTGAGGGGGCGCGCGCGAAACCCATGACGTGCGAACGTATGAGTTCCTGCTGCTAATGCAACGTTGGTGTAGATTGTCTCTCCCCCTCAACTTCAATCGGCAAACGCAGGTCGTCTTCCGCTTCTCCCGCCGAATGCACATACGCCTAATTGTTGCGAATACCGCGCACAACCCGCGCATATTGCCTACTTTAAACCGCGTACAGATAAAGCCAAGGGCTTCTTCATTCTCCTGGAATTATCAATATCCCCCGTCACAATCGAATCATATAATCTACAAAAGACGTGCAAGAACAGACATTGCAGATTACGAAAAGGAGACCGACAAACAGTTACAACATACAGTAGTAGCAAGTCGTCGTCATCATCATCATCATCATCATCATCAGGCTCCAAACGTTGCGCCAATAAGGGCGAACGACCCCGCAGAACTGTACACACATTCACAACCGACTACTCGTCCTTTCGACGGCAGCAGTATGTAGTGACGGGGAGTTAATAACGAACCACCGACACCTTAGCACCGGCTGATACTCAACCAACCGCCGCGGCTACAGCCATCACAGCAACAGCTACAGCCATCACACCGACAGCTACAGCCATCACACCGACAGCTACAGCCATCACAGCATCAGAGCGAGGACAAGCGCGCCGGCGCCAAGGCGGGCAAAAAAAACACAAATAAAAACCTATGCCTTCTCATGCCGCATGATGTGAAGTGGTTAGCCACAAAAAGGCCATGTTCCCGCCATTTTTTTCCTTCATCCGCCGCTTTTCGTTTTCAAAAGCTTTTGTGCAGTAACGGAGGCGACAAGGTCCTCCCCTCCCCGGAGAGGCCTTTTGTCGTCCAAGGCACGTCCACATCACGAGACGCACGAAAGCAAGACGGCATGCCGACATGTGGTATCTCTCTCTTCACCTCCTCCCCTTCGCACATGATACTATACAGCTTCATGTGTCCGCCCTCCTGTTTTCAAACAGCAACAAATTGCTTCGCCAACATACAGCACAGCGATGCTACCAAATGCGCTAAAACATCTCTCCAGCTCTTGGGATATGTTTTTACATAAACCCTTTTCATTCCAAGGGCGCGTAAGTCCATTTAAAAGAAGCGATTTCGAAACTGGGGATAACTACACGCCAGGGCGACATAAACCTCTGCTGTATCATTTAAGAAGAACCATTTCCGAGAAATCATAATCCTGTTTCCGAGAGCATTATAATCTTGGAAGTTTCGTTATTTGAAACCTCCCTCTCCAATCCAATATCGTAGTACACAGCAGGATGTTCATCGAAACACACACTGATAAGAAACGTATGCGTGCGGGGATCCCGAAGGCGCCGTACGGTACGGCATTACCGTACCAGGATGCCCGCCTCGCCAGAATCTTTTAAGGATTAAAAAACATAATCAAAGCACAGAGCGTACACTAAGCTTTTCGCCATGCATGCCATAACAGCGACAAATATACTTTCGCATCGGAGTTGGCATCTCTCAGCCATAGTACTAGAGTACGGCCGAACGTACGGCATATATGCCTAGCAAGTAGGATGCCACACGCTGCCCAGCCGACTGGCCAGTGGTGCCCATAATGGCCCGCCATAAACCGCTCCCTCCTTACTGTTCGCTGAAGATGATCAATGTCAACATGGACAACAGATGACGTACTGTACGAGCAATTTCTCCTTTTCCTTTAAAACAGGACAATTATAAAAGGACAATTAGAATAAACCCATCCTCCAGTAGCACCGCTTGGTACCGGACGACAAGATCGCAACTGAACTGAATAGAAAACAACACTTCTCGAACCCCATCCCCCCTTCCTCCGTAATTTCCCCCGGCCATTCAGCCGGGCATTCGTCATCCCCTCCCCCTTAACAGCCTAAAGCATGCGGTCATCAACATGCGGCCCCAAACATGTTGATGCTGATGGTGTCTACAGGGAATCTCTCGACAGCGAAAAGACGTACTGGATCTATCAGGCCTTGGGTAATGAAAGGACCCACAGGTAATGAAACGCGCATAGAAACGGCTTTTGTGCGTCGTGCCACTTTCTTGATAATCGGGAGAGACACACAAAAAAGAAAGGGCCATTTTAAGAGATTATGTACAGACAACATGACGGCCAAACTCTCCTCCATCAGGAGTGGGTAGATGGGATGGGATGGACGTGTCCCCTCCCTATCAGCCGCACGGCAAGAGGAGGGACCACGCGAAATGGTTGTTGTTTGGTTGGTTGTTGCAAATATAAAATAAAAACCACACGCTATGAGCACAAAAGTGCCTCCGTGACTCTTTCCGGCCTCGCTGCCACTGTATTGCACGCCGACAAGACCACCACCGCTGCCACTGCCACTTTGCCACTCCCACTGCCACTCCCACTGCCATTCCCACTTTTTAACATCATACCAAGAAACGTCGTGTGGTGCGAAGCCGCCTATAACCTTGTCTACAGGCATTTGTACGACAGTACGGCAGTATGGAGTCCCAAATGGGGTCCCAAATGTTCGCACTCTTCACACTACCCCACAGCCCCCACGGTGCTCAGATTTCGAAATCGTCCCCTTCCCAACCCTTTTATTGGCCCCGTCCTTCCATCGACCCCCTGCTCCCACAACCCAGCAACAAAACCCCGTGGGACTACTGCCAACTACTTCCCCATACAAGCATACCCTCTTCAAAACTTCTTACCTTCCACCTTTATTATTACCCTTGGAATCGAACAATCGAAAGAATACACGAGGAAGGCACATGCGCGAAAATCCACATGTATACCATTTTTACTGCTACTCCCAACTACCCATCCACGTTTAAAACTGTCAACTGTCAACTACCAATTGCCCACAATGCTCGTGACTTCAGCGTGGTGCTGCTACGGAAAAAAAGACTTTTGAATGAAAAGACTTTGAAGAAAAGACTTTAAAAATACTTTTGAGAAAAAGATTCCTGATTATTAGCAGTTCCTGGAAGACGGAAGGGAAGGGAGGGAAGGTTCTTCCAAGACGGTGCCTAAACAGGCCGCCTCGGCAGATCAGATCAGCTGCTAAAAGTTTTTTCCCGTCTTCAAATTCAAACCTCATCAGCTGCTGCCAAGTCACTCTGTGCACACCTGCACCGCCAGTCCCTCAGCAGCCACCGCAGCCCTGTCCGACGACGACGGCGACGGCGACGGCGATGGCGACTCCTTGCCGCTACTGCTATCGTCGCTACTACCGCCAGCATCCTCCTTGGCGGCGGCAGAAGTTGCGGTCGATTCCTGACAACAACAGCCTGATGGCGGCTGCGGCTGCGGCTGCGGCGCCTGGGAGCTGCTGGCAATCGCACCGGTGCTCATCGGGGTGCCTGAGCTGGACGTGGCCTTGCCGCTGTCGCTAGTCCGACCAAACGCGCTAAACAGCGCATCCGCGGCCGCGCCGCCAGTGGCGACGCCGTTGGCGACGCCGGCATCCGTACCGAGCGATCCAGCGGCGCCCCCACTAAGCAACGCGAGGCTGGCGTTGACGGCGCGGCTGGCGGCGCCGTTGCCGCCGCCGCTGTTGGCCGCCGGCAGTTGCATGAGAGGCGCCAGCTGGTCGCACAGGCGAGGCATCTTGAATGGCGGGGAGGAGAGGGAGGCGCTGTGGCGCGATGCTCCCCGGCCGGTGGGCGAGAACAGGGGTGTCTTGGCGGGCGACAGGAGCGATGCTGCAGCAGCGGGAAGAGCCTGAAGGCACGAAGGGTCGTCGATGATCGATGGAATATAACCGAAATGCATGCACAGTCAAAAGGACAAAACAAGACCTTAAAAAAAGGTGAGCAGAATATCCCACAGGTTTTAGGATTTCAGGCGGTTTTACGATTTAGATTTTACATTTTAAATTAAGAAGAACTCACCCCGTTGGCGGCGCCCGGCGACCCCGCGCTCCGCGACCACACAGCCGTACCGGCTGCCTCCGCCGCTCCCTGGAGTGCAGCGCCACCGCCCACGTTGTCCGGGCCCAACAGCGGACGTGGCGTGCTAACAGCGCTCCCCGGAGCGGCAGCATGGATGAAACGGCACCGATTGCCGTACTGGCAGATACCAGTCGCCGCGAAGGTACGGCAGTGCTGGGCACGAGGGAAAGGCTTCGTATCAGTTGCAATCGGTGAACGGTTAAGTTCGTCACAAGCACGTGCTGCTGGTCGTGGATAAGTAGGTAAAAAATTTGCTGATTCCACACACAAACGAATTTATAAACTAGTGAAGGAATACGTAGTACAAAATACAAAACCCATGACTCTACGCGCCATAAGGATATAAATAGGATTAGCGGGTTTTCATGTTTTCATGCTGCGCTACCATAATTGTCGAGCTAAACCTTGGGCCCCTTACGACTCTCGTAAGTCCATCATCGTAACTTAAAACAGTTACCGATCAGTGGGCTTTATTAGGACTCTGGGGTAAGAAGCCCCCTACGGCTTTATTAGAACTCTGGGGTAACAAACGCCCTAGGGAAAAACGGATTGCAGTTACGGCGCTTGTCATACCTCGGTCTTGTACTTGGGGTGTCGTACAACTGGCCGCAATTCCTCTGGACCATGAGCGAACTGTTTTGAGATTCAATTTGGACACAATCAAAGCGCGGGGGGGAGCGTAGGGGAGAAATGTTTTATAGTAGCAACAAACATGTGCGAACTTTCCTAGCGCGATATAAGAAGCAAGGGTTGTACGGCACTCATTCGGGCGTACGGCACTACACGTAATATTTATTACACGTAATATGACGTCAAGGCCGTGTCATGTTGCGGAGGTCATTGCCATTATGCAAGAGAAAACGCTGGCGTTGAATGAAGTCACCATATACCAAGTCATCACGATGTCTAATAACCTGGTTCACAGTCTTCATCTTCAATATTTCCATTCTCCTTTCTAACCCGTCAACTGTATGTGCATACATACATACACCAGGAATGGAATTGGGCCGCTGTCGACCCGGCAGATTCCGTTGGATGCCGGTGGTGGGTGCGGAGCCTAAGCGATCCACTGAGAAGTTGACTAGGGTGACTGGATGAGGGTGCGCCGAAATACCGGGGAAGGCAGGGTTTCGCCGGGTAGCGATCACGGATGAAGATATGACCCCCCTGTCCCACACATCATACACCAGTCTGGCCCGGTGAAACCTTTTGTTTAGGTGAAAATCCTCTACGGATGTCGGGTGACTGGACGAAAGAGTTTACATACCAACTTACATACAGATATACAAACGTACATACACACAAACACACTCGCCTGGCACTTGCTTCCGTAACGGCAACTCCCCGTCTCCGTCCAGGAACGGCACATCTCCGTCTGCAGCAAACAATCATAATGGGGCAGCAAACGATAGGGGGAATGGTAAGAAGAGTATTTATGTCAAGTGCATGAGGAGGATTCTCCTTGACTTTGGGATAATATAGATTTTAAGGAGTACAGCAAAGTACAGCAGAGTACAGCAGATGTCAATACCTACCTTCCGAGCTAAAACACAAACACAAATAACAAGCTGCAAGGCGACAGAACATACATATCCGTACATATGTGTGTAAATACATACATATATATACTTCCAACCCCCCCTGCACCTTGTACAGCGTGTTGTGTTTAGGCCCGGTTCCTCGCGGCCCAGGTGGGCTCGACAGGCCCGCCAACAGCCCCTGCGGCGCCATGGCCGCCGCCGCCTGTGTCGTACGCGCCCCCGCCGACGCCCCTGGACTACTCAGCCCGCCAAGACCGCTCAGCGCGCTGGAGTTCCGCCAGGACGGCGAACGCCACGTGCCGCCGCCAGGACTGCCGAAACCCGCCAGGCCGGCAAGGCCGGCGGCGGCGCCGGCGCCGCCGGCGCCCAACAGCCCAGCGGCGCGCACGGCGGCAGCGGCGTTGCTGCCGCCGCCAGCTGCACCAAAGTCAGGCAGACCGGCGATGGCGTGGTGGGTGGCCACCGGCAACATGAGGTTCGGTCCCGGGGGACTGAGGAGAGCTGCAGCGAAGCCCGGGGGGGGCCCCACGCAAGCGCCGGAGGCGGCGCCGCCGCCGCTGCCGCCGGATCGGGAGCTGACGGCCGTTGCCGGCGAGTACGGCATGGCGAGTGATAGTGGTAAAGGAACTCCAACGGCGCCGCCGCCGCCTGAGGCGGCGGCGCCGCCTGGTGCGGATTGCGTGCCGCTGGTAGTGGCGTCGAGCACCCCCGCCGCTTGCGCCAGCGCGAGTACGACATCGTCATTCAATCCGCCAGTGTCCAGGCCCTCCTGCGGTTGCGGCGGTGGAGCAAAAGAGAATGGGTCAGCAGCTGAAAGCGCACGGCTATAAAAACACACGGCTGACAAGGTAACGAAAACAGTAACCAACACTTTGCAACGACGACAACAGAAACCAACCGAACGTGCACCACTTAGTAGTGTGTACCGTAGTAGATGACTGCGCAAGGACTGCGCGAATTTTATTTTTCAGCTTTTTTAAACCTGTTACGTGATTCGACCGTAATAATTCTCTTACCCTAATTATTTTGCGTTTGATATGCCATTATATAAGGTTGTTATTATATAAGGTTGTTGTAATGTTCATTATTGTAATCCAGTAATCGAGTTAAGATTCCTACTTACGTTGAGGAGGGCCGCGGCCGTCGCTGGATCCAGACTACTCGCCAACGTGGCCGCCGCTGACGGCATAGCGGCGCCGCCGCCAGCAGCCGACGGCGCCGCCGCCGCCGCACTAGCTGACGCCAACAGAATCAAAAGCTCCGCCGCCGTAGCCGTGCGGCAGCCTTCACCACCGCCGCCAGTAGCGGACCTGCCCGCCGAGTCCGCCGCCGCCGCCGCCGCCGCCAGGCTCGCTAGAGCCAGCGCGTTGTGCTGGTTAACGGCGGCAGTGTTGGCCGCCGCCGCCGCTGCCGTCGCCGCAGCCGACGGCATGCCACCGCTGCCGGTGCCGGCGGCTCCGCCGCCGCCTCCACTCATCATCGACAACGTCGCCCGCGTCACATCCATGGCGCCGCCGCCGCCGCCGCCGCCGCCGCTGCCGCTTCCTTGCAGCCCAGGGCTTCCGCTGGAGCGATTGGTAGCAGCGGATCTAGGATGATATTGAAGTTGACTGGATCCAGAGCCGGCAGATCCAGATCCAGATCCAGAAGGCCCGACGGCCGTCATCGCAGTGTTGCTGGCGGCCACTTGCAAATCCAATGAGCCCCTCGCGCTGCGAACACCCCCTTGTGTGTGGCCGCCGCCGCCGCCGCCGCCGCCGCCAACAGGACGGTCGGCGTGGGGCCCGGCGGGGGCGCCCGGGGAGCTCTGAGCCAGCGAGCCCGGGGTGCTAGCACCTGCAGAGTGGCGTCAGCGATCAGGCAGGTAATAACCGTAAACTAACCTACAACGAAATTCCACAACAAAAAAACAGTCACGCATCTTTGGGTGCATTGCAGTCTTTGGGGGGTGCGCGTGTATGTGAAACGTATGACTTTTTTAATTAGGGCTTCTTCATTTCTTAATTAGGATTTTAATATTAATTAAGATTTTAATAGCATCTTTATCATTCTTTAAACAGCAAACGACAAAGTACGAGAGGTACTGCAAACCCCAAAGCATCCAAAGCCAAGCGCAGCATGACTTCCAAACTCAAAGCGCGCAATCCTCTTGCCTTCTCACTCACATACCTGTTGCCTGTGCCGTACCAACCACCAGACCGGTGGCCGGGTCAACCACCAAGTATACCTGACCAGGCCCGAGGCCCGCTGGGGAGCCCTGGCCCTGCGGCGCCCAGCCGCCGCCGCCGCCGCCACCACCCTGCGAGGTCGGCGCCGCCGCTGACGGAGAGCCGTCAGGCAGCGGTTGAACCTGCATCGGCTCGGGCTTCGTCGGCGCCGGTGCCGGTGACGACACCATGCCGTCATGTGATGTCGTCGCCAGCTTGAGGCCGCCGGCGCCGCTGAGAGAGGTACGGCAGCGGAACGGCGACAGATGCGGTGCTCCGTTGGCAGTTGGAGAGCCGCCGGGGGAGTAGGACGGGACGGGGCCGCCTGCTTCGCTGCCGCTGGTGGCGGTAGTGGCGGCGGCTCCGCTGCCGCCGTCGCCGTGAGCGGGACTGGCGCGGCCGCTGTCCATGGGAGACCCTGGCGGCGGCAGCGCACCCAGCGGCAAGCCGCGAGCCGTCGCCGCTGCAGTTCCGCTGCCGCCGCTGCCGTCGCTGCCGAAGCTACGGCCGCCGATGCTGTTCATAGTTTGAAGAAAGGATGGGGATGTAAAGAGCTGGTCGCCGATGCCGCTGCCGTCGCGGCCTCCGCTAAGACCCGACATGGACTTCGTCGCCGACGCTGGCATGGAAATTGCTTGGGAAGTCGGCGACTGTTGAAACCAGGCGGCGGCGGCGCCGGAATGGCAGGAGTTGTTGAAATTTGACTGCGGCGTTGTTGGAATTGAAGCTCCGAAGCTTACCGCAGACGAATCGAACTTGTCCACGAGCGCGCTTGCCGGCCGTTTTAAAGCGCCGCTCGTTGAAAATTGCTGTTGTTGTTGTTGTTGCTGCTCTGACGGTGTGGCTGGCTGGCCATGGGAATTCGGCGCGATGACAGCCGCATTAGAAGGGGGAGAGGCCGCACAGGGCCGCGTCACCGCGCGGCCCCAGGAAGGTCGAAGGCTGATGTTTTCGGCCAGAGAATCTTCTTCAAAGCCGACAACAGAGCCGTTGGCAAAACGTTGACGCTTTTCAGCGGCGGCTTCAGTCTTGACATGCTGCGGCGGCTCTGTCATCATGGCGGCCATGTGTTGCTCTTGAAGTGTCGAAAAAGTTTGTCCAGTTAAGGATAGGCGGAACTGTCGGCTCTTTTTTTTTGAGTCACCGAAAGGTCACAGGCACGCCGAACAACACGAAATGGCTTCGGCAAGGAAATTATTAGCAAAAAGAAGCATATAAAAGAGCAATTTGACTTGGCAGGCTGATGTCGCAAAGAGCTCCGCAACGTTGTCTGGGAGCTTGACGACCCGGGGGACGCAGCTACAACTATTCTTCTCAGGTTGAGAGAAAAACGCTTTCCTTCAAAAAGATATTGTAAGAGCCTATTACAGTTACAATCTGCCGCGGCTGTTATGCCGGGCAATACCAGTTCCGCGGGAGTTGGTGAGCAGGCTCTGAGGCGGCGGTATCCAGATTCACTTTTATATTCACTGTTTAAAACAGGTCACAAGAACTCAAGTAGTAGCATACGCTTGTGCGCGTCTCAGATAGCTTTTGGATGATATGGGAAAGCATCGTTCAGGCCATATTATATACTTTCCCGCCGGCGTGTGTTCCGTACAGGTTTGTCATCCTGCACCCCGAAGGGTCGCTTCACTCTGCGCGCTGCCGATCCACAACGTTGCATCTCCAAGATAATTCCGGAGCTGTCTGTAACAAATACTTTGTACTTCGTGGCTGCCGTAAAGACGGTCAGGAAAGCACGTCATCTAAGGCCGCCTGTCGGCGTCATAGGCACAAGCTATCCTAACATTGCACAGCGACATGCCGAGCCCCCTCTGCGCTGCCCATTACACGAACATGAGTCAACACACTATCGGAAATGCACACCCGCTCACTTCTCAGCCACTTTCCAAACCTTAACAGCACGCGCTTGCCCGCTCACAAAAATTACAACATGCGCGAAAGCAGTCACGGCACGAAAAATTCGCGCCCTGCGATATCTGAGATCTTGGCCCGCTCGTCCTGCTTTAACGCCTCGCACTCCAGTCGCAGCTGGTTGAACAACACGGAAGAAAGGTACCTGTAAAGTCCGTACATATCAAACAAGATCCACAATATTTAGACAACATTTCCTTCAACTGCGTACCTGGTTAGTGGTCCCTAACGCCATACTGCTTAGGCCTTCCTAACAGGAGCCAACCCAAATGTTGAAAAAATAATTGCCACCCGAAAGTGCAACATTTTGGAAGCAAGTTGGATCTACCTTGTCTCGCATCTTACACACCATTGCCAGCAGTTGCCGTCCTTATGGGAAAACGATTCGCGCCTCTCAGGTTGCGGCGCAACAGACATTCAGCTAAACGCGAAATGGGCTGTGAACGCAGGTACTGCCGCTCTCTCTCTCTCTCTCTCTCTCTCTCTCTCTCTCTCTCTCTCTTTCTCTCTCTCTCTAGCTAGCACGCAGGCACGCACCTCTCGCCAAACGACGGAAGCACCACGACGACGAGCTTGCCGGCATTCTCGGGCCGAGACGCGACCTGCGAACACCACATGCCGCCGGTGAGGGCACAGGGGGCTACCGGTGCGTCTCTAGGAAGGTGCTGCTGTGCAAACCCAGATCCCAAAACCCTGGCCGGCAAACAATCCCCTTGCCCGCCGCCTAGCCCACTGTGGCATATGTCCCCCCCACACATATAACACACGGCGGCCTGTGTCGTGCAGTACTCCTCTCGCGTCCCCTAAAGAAACGGAAACAAATGTTTTTCCCACCGGACAACCCCATTCTACACTCCTGTATCCGTCTATCTTCTAGTAACAGAGGTTCACTCGTCAGTGGTTCCTCTGAAACCCCAAAAACGGTCCCTTCCCGCAACCCACATATCCGCCTTATTCCATCTCGCCAGAGCCACACTCCGCCTCCCGCATCCTCCTACTTTCCGATCCCCCACTTTCCCGCAGCAACCCACTTTTCCCATTTCCTCGCTTAACTTTTTTGCCTTTGTCTTCCCAATAATCACAACCCCTTTTGCATTCACCCGCACCCACCTTGATGGCCGCCGCCACCGCAGCTCCGGAACTGATGCCGCAAAACAGCCCCTCGTCAGTCGCTAACCGCGCAGCCATCGCCACCGCGTCGTCGCTCTGAACCTGTATATTTTGGTTATTGATGTTACGATATGGTCAGATTGCCGGGCAGAAGACATGAAGTGAAAAATCACTTCATCACTTCACTTGTTCCTGCTGAAAAAGTTAAGATGCGCTAAAAGATTCAAAAACAACAGGCAAAAACAAAACAGACAGTAAAGCGGCCTTGGGATGAACAGGGTTATTCCTCAGTCTGCCACAGCTCGAAGAACCGTCGGCTCGAGGCGGCTTGACAGGACCAGGGTGGAGGAGAAACTACGCCGCAGCCAGCCTGCCGAGCCCCACATCCCACGAACATATGCAACCCAAAGGCCGCGTAACGACCTTAACAGACCACAGTACTCTCACCTACGTAGCTATATTGTACCACTAGGCGTTACATGCCTATGAGGTTTTGGAACCATGTCCGTTTACAGCGTCGGTCTGTGGCATACCAAGTTTTGCGACAGGAGGTCGCAGAATCCCTCTCCAACCCCGAAGGGCCCGGATGGGGGACACTACTCCTCCGTTTTCTATGTTTTTTGGGGCACGATGTATGGAAAGAGGCCCCGCAAGGGCTACACGAGGTAGACGAACGAGTGGAGTGGCTGATGAACAAACCAATGCCAGAAGGTGTGATTTTGGAGTTCAAGGACCGATTAATGAGTGGTTGGAAGCATACGCGTTTAGATGTCCAGCCTGACGTGTATCCGTCAGACGGCAAGCAACCAGGAATTCACATGGCGAAGTATAAGCATTGGATGGGGCTGGCGGCCGAGCAAGCGGGCAGGAAGGAGGTGCTCCCGCACATCACAATGTTATCCCACGTTCGGCGAATCGCAAGCTTATGCAGTTTAGGCTTTGCTGTTGGGCACTGGCGGCTAACAGAGCGCGTAAGGGACGGCGTTATATACCTAGGGAGGAGCGAGTATGCCCTTGCTGCGGCACTGATAGCCACATCGAGGATGAGAAACACATTTTGCTGGACTGTCCGGTTTACGACGGAATCAGATCTGATATGGGCTTTCCACGCTTCGAACATATGAAGGACGCTATGAAGTGGGAACCTGAACGCCTGGCAAGGATGCTGGAACGTATATGGTCCCACCGCAACTCCATCGTTCCCTTTGGTCGTTAGTATACTTCATCACTTGTTTCGCTGGAAGTGCGAGGTAGGATGGTGCTTATAGGCGATTTGGCAGCCCTTGAGCCCTCGGCTCGTACTAGGGTGGTTTGCAGGTACGGGGAACGCACCCACGACCATGTAACAACAACAACAACATGCCTATTACAACGAAGAGGCCCGATTGCCGATATAAAGGAACATGGTCTTGCTGCCGTGGCGGCACCGACGACTGCTAACCCAAACTCACCTTGAGCACTTCGTCGTACACGGCCGTGTTGAGGATGGCGGGCACGAACCCCGCGCCGATGCCCTGGATCCTGTGTGGCCCAGGCTTGCCCCCTAGACGCAGGTAGCGGAGGGCCGAATTATCGCGGGGCATCATCACCATAATCATGAGGTCAACCTTGGACCCAGCAAGATGGTGTTATTGCGCATCAACCACCACCTTTCAATTTTCCTGACTTTCTGTATCGGATGGCGATCAAGTCTTACAGGCTTCATACTCGACTAGTGGTAATGCATCCAGCTAAACCTAAAAAAACAATAAAAAAAGTCGTAAGCATAAGGCAGGATATGGAACATGCTACTTTCTCTCTTTTAGCGTTCATTGATGCTTCATGATGCTCTTAGTATGTATGTACTGCTTGTGTATGTGTGTTTTACATATCGGTCCGGGCCTGCGTGTGCGTGTGTATGTGTGTGCGTAGCGGTGTTGTTTGCCTGACCCACCCGTTCACCCACCAAATCGATTGATTGACACTCGTAATCATCCATCCACTCACTCGCTCACCCACTCAGCCATACAGTTCGCCTCAGTCGCCCGACCACCCGTTAAATCACCCAATCCCCCCACTGCCTCTTAACCCACCCGACAGCACGGGGCTCTCCGCCGGCTCCACCGCCACCACCTGCAGCCCCTGCTTGACCGATTTGAGGTACTCGCCCGTACCGGTCACCGTACCGCCCGTACCCACACCCGCCACCAGAATATCCACCTGGCCCACAGTGTCTCGCCAGATTTCCGGACCTGATGAAAAGCAACAACAACAACATGGCGCAACGACACAGCAAGGCGAATTAAACCAAATAAACAGCACCGTGTTCGTGTTTTTGCATTGCGTTTTTTTTGCTGTATTGCAAAAAAGCGCGGCAGGACGGTACAGCGCTGAAGCCTGGCGAAGAAGAAGCACAGAGGAGGTTGCATTTTGGCGTGTCGGAAGTTATTCGTGTCGGAAAAAAATTTTATGTGTCTGACTTGACGCGACTTGACGGAGGACAGGAGAGGCAGTTCGACGCAGAAGAACACAACGCCCCCGAGAACCAACGCGCGTTCGTTGTTGTCGTTGTTGACTCGTGACTGTGATGTCTTCTGGTCGCCACCGGCTTTCAGTGAGAGGGCGGCGACAGCAACCGCAACAGTAGCCTTACCCGTTGTAAGGCGGTGGACTTCCGGGTTAGCTGGGTTTTCAAACTGCTGCAGGATGTACGAGTTGGGCGTCTTTGCTGCAATCTCGTTGCACTTCTCCACAGCACCACGCATTCCCTTGGCCGGATCTGCAAAAAATACGGAGAAAAACACACGCAGGCACACGCGCAGGCACGCCAGCACAGGCCGTTTAAATTGACAGGCCATCCACACAGGCCGTTTAAATAGACAGGTAAAGACACGAACATACGTTACAGACAAACACACAAAAGAGGACACCAGCATCAGTTAAAAAAGAGGAACGGGAGCAGCTCCCGGAACTTCGAGGTATACTGGGCGCCAAAAGGGGTACGTGACATGGTCGCGAGGAAACACAGCAGAGCAGGACGAGACCGAGACCGAATCTACAGCCTACAGCACACCATCCTAGGTCCTGATGCCACCACGCAATAAAAAAAGCGTTCCATAACCCATAAGCATGCCAGGAATGCCTTCTCTTCTCTTCTTCTCACAACACTCCCGAAAACACAGGCGCGCCAACACTGTTTCAGCCCTCCCTCTAACCCTACCCTTAACACCGCGACCAACCCGACCCATTTCAGATCCCCCCAGGAACATAGACCCCACCCACCCCGCCCCCGGCCTCTCGCCTGTTAGCACCAGCTCCGCACCGAAGGCCCGCAGCAGCACTCGCCGCTCCAAAGACATGCTGGCCGGCATAGTGAGGATGAGCTTGTAGCCCCGAGCCGCTGCCACGAAGGCCAGTCCGATACCCGTGTTGCCGCTGGTGGGCTCCACAAGGGTGGTCACACCGGGCTTGATGGCGCCGCGCTTTTCAGCGTCGTCAATCATGTTGCGGCCGATGCGATCCTGTCAAGGGGAGCGCAAAGTGGGGTGCAGGAGGAGTGGGTGGGTGTAGACTGCGGGGGCCGGGGTGTTTGGGGGTAACGTAATGGTGGAAAAGGAGGTGTCGATGGAAAGCGAGTTGGTTTGGTCCTTCTCTTCGCTACCTCCGTTGCGAGATGGAATCAATATCCCCCTCCGTTTCTCTCCGGAGTCCCTTCGGAAGCGGCGATTACTACTTAACGTTTGCATTATGCCGTTATCAGTAGGCCGGTTCCGTTCTAGAAGCCGCAGCACGTTTCGCAGGCGTCAGGTGTAAAGGGCCAGGGTAAGCGACGTCCCAGGAGGGTGTGTGTGGAAAGTGTGTGGAGAAGTGTTGGGCGACCTACCTTAACACTGGAGCAGGGCTGCATGATTTCCAGCTTAGCCGCGACACGAGCAACGCAACCCTGCGGCGCAACAGGATCGAGGGGGAGGGACGCAGGGCGGGATAGTAACGAGGGCTCCTGCGGTTGCGGATCGTTAAAGCTCCCCTTTCGTGTCCGGGCGCATAGGTGTCATCAGCGTAATAACCAGGACAGGGGTTCACGTGCGGGGCGTGGCCATGGGTTTCCACAGAAGTGGGTGTTGGCACAATGTTTCCGGTTTTGGCATGCTTCTCGGCGGAGGCACGCGCTCCGTCAAAGTCCGCACCTTGGTGACACGGTTAAGGTACACCATGGGCGTGTTACCGATGACTTCAGTAATGTCGCTGCAGATCTTCTTCGGCTTGCTTGGAGCGTCAGCTGGTGCTGCCGCCAAAGTCGACTCCACGACACCTGACGACGCCTGAAGGCGGAGGCTCAAGGGTCGCCGTGCATGCTGCCTAGCACCTGCCTGCAAGCAGCGCGCAAAGATGTGAGTCCGGGCTTGGTTGCTGAGGAAATTCAAATGCAAGCATCGCACCTTCCCAAAAGGCCTCAAGGCCTGGCGGGAAGTATGCACCGCTTGCATGTTGATCGTTAATTTAAGGAGCAACTGCAAAGTCAAAAGGAGGCGGAATTAACCTCGTTCCTTCAATGTTGCACGACATTCGGACTGCGGTAGGACATCATGCAGGTCGTTCCGATCATGGGCCTGAATGCATACGTAGTGGTCTTTCTATTTATTTCCTGGACATTTGCTAAACAATCGCTGTGTTTTCCTTACTTTGCTTTTGGGCGTTTCGAAACAAAGAAGTGCGTCAGCGTTATGCTGCACGCACGTCGAACGTGCCACTGTCGCAATATAGGTCCAGCTGCTCGCGTTCGACTGGTAGTTAGGGCACAGCAGCAGGGGCGGCCCCCGTCCATTCCCAGAAGCCCTGTTCCACCGCCGCCCCGCCCTCCGTCTGGCTATCCGAGCGAGCAGCGGCCTACGTATCAATATGGCGAGCCGGGTGCGCAGCCAGGCGGCCCAGGCTCTCAACATTTTGCCCCGGGCGACGCATCCGCAGCAACACCCTCTCTGCGCAACAGTGCAGCCAACGGATCCAGCATGGGCTTAGGTGGCTATGCACAGGCTCTTGTTGCTGCAGCATTTGTGATGGGCCTTGGTATTGGCACTTGGTTTGACTCAGAGGTAAGCTTGTTCTTTACAAACAAACTGTCGTGGAAAGATTGCGCGGTGGCTTTTGCTTCTTTGCGTCTATGCGTCTCTCCTAGCAAAATTTTCGTATATAAAACTCTAGGTTATGCATGGCACAGCAAATGCGGCCTCTTGACCTCATCCGTCCGTGCCCTATGGCCGCGTCACGCCTGTGACACAGTCCTCTGCCAGTGCGCAACATATTTGGGCTGTTGCCACCTGATAATTGTATGGAGCTAGGGCGTGTGGGCACCTGTGGTCAACCCCCTTCCACACTTGTCCTCTAAACCCGCGAAGGCCGCCGCATTGCCAGTATCAGCCTCGTAGACCTACGCCTTGCAACCTGCACAGCTCCTGAATCGGGCACAGGAATGAACCCATATTTTGTCCTGTAAATGCACCTGCGTACTGCGCGGCAGGAATCTCTGCCTCCTCAGCACCTCCTCTTACATAACCCCTCAGCATTTTTGTCAACACCCGCACTATTGTACCACATCCCTCTCGCTCCAGTTGTTTTGGCGTAAGCAACGTTGCACCCTTATACACTGCCATGCAAATCGCTAACCGGCGCTAAAAGTAAAGGACAGGGTTAAATGTTCACACATAAAAAAACCCACGCGTGCATCACCCCGCCATCCTGCATGGCGCCGCAGGTAGTCTTGACGCCGGCGAACGTCTCGAGCACGGAGATCATTGACCGAGCTGTTCCGAACGCGGACATCTGCATGGCGAACGGCTACTCTGCCTCCGTGCTCAGCATGAACGTCTTCGTCACGTATAACCCGTTCAACGTGTATATCTCGCAGCCTCAGGTCAAGGGTGGATGCGTTCTGCGGCGCGCCAACGTGGGCCTGCTCGAGCGCGAAAAGGTACCGAGACACTCGTGTGTGGTAACGACAGCTGATGTCGAGCTATTTGTCGTCCTCAGATGTTGCAGCCCAGGTCATCAGCCCTCTAGGGTTTTCATCAGGGAAGGAATATATAAGTATAAGTATAATACCCAAACGGGAGCGGCGTGGAAGGAAAAGAAAAGGTCAACGTGAGGTGGTCAATTTGCTCCCAGCTGGATTTATGCAAAACATATGCAAAACTTACCCCCGGTGGTAGTGGGGCCAAAATGGAGCTCTGACTGTGGCTTGGGAGTTGAGCAGTGTCCGCTTTAGCGTGCGGTAATTGTCCCGAGCAATGTACCAGGCTAGCGTATCATAGCACAGCCCTTGTTTTTAAGCCGTTATCCTTTGTGAACCCACTTCCCTCCCTCACTCCCGTTCCGCCACGCGCGCCCTGTATGGAAAAATATGTGGTCTTTCGCGGCCGCCGACTACGGTTATTGCCTTGACAGCTCGTGACGCCCCACGACGTGGATCTGTGCAAGCAGCGCATGAACACGTTTGCGTACGTTGGGGATCTCAAGAGCGAGCCGGAGGTGGAGTGCGTGTATCACAGCGAGGAGGTGGGTGGGTGGTGGAGCTTGAGTGATGGTGTCCTTAATGGTATTAGCAGCGACGCCGATGTGCGAGTAATGGGCGCTTGGATGCTGCAATGAATCAGTCCCAGTGTGGGTTTTATTATAAGGACCATGTAAGGTGGGTGGTGCTAGGCCCCTTGAGAAAGATGACAGCTCGGATAGACTCAACGGCCGCAGTTGTATGTATGTATCCCTGCGTGTGGAGCCCGGTGCTGTCGCTGTGAAGTTCCGGGGTTGTGGTTGTCCGCGGTTACTGAGCACCGGTTTGCACCGGTCACCCATTGATGAATAGCGCCCGGCGCCCGCCCCTACATTTTACATTTCTGCATCTGCGGTCTGCCTGTATATCACTGCCCCTGTATCCGCGACCAGGCTGAGAACCAGTATTTGGAGGTCCTCGGCAATCGGGCCAAAATGTCTCAGCTGTTGATGCAGCAGCCGACGGAGCCACTGGCGGAGAACCAGACTTAGAAGAAAATCGATGTGCTGGTTAAGTGCCTGGGACGATGGGTCATCTGGACCGGGGGGCCTAAAATTAATGGCCGCAAGGGGCACACACACACACACACACAATAAAGAGTTTGGATGTGGTGAGAAGACTGATATCCTCCTGCATATGTTTATTCACTTCGTAGAGAAGACCATGATGGGCGCTTTGGAGCATTTTTTGGTGGTGGCATGCTTGTTTTCGTATTGAGGACCGTTAGGCATGCGCTGAGGTTGCAGTTGGAGTATTCTCTGGGGCAACTTAGAATTTATTTAGCTGCTTAGCTGGAGAAGACAGAGGTGTAGAAGTTAGGGCCGGTGATTTTTGTACGAATTTCCAACATGTACAGTACGAATTGTCTTTGTATCGGCCGTGCGCCGCACAACGGATCGGCCGTGCGCCGCACAACGGCGTATGTTCAAATGTTCAGTCTGTGCACTCACTGTGGAACGGGTGATAGGGCTGTTGGGACGATCCTTTTGAACGGTTATATAATAATGATTTCGCAACCTTGCCTAGGCAAATACGCCGAGGGCAGCTTGCCACCAACCGTATGGCCATCACACGCAAATTATGAGGTGCTTTTGATACGCCCACATGAATATTAATTTTGTTCGTAGCTGTAGCCTCAATCCCGTAGCGGGGCAACTAAAGACAACCGCAGCTTGCATAGCTAGCGCTCCAACCCATCCTCCCGCCCCGAACACACAAGGGCGCGGTTTTTCGTTCGTGATTCGCCTGTTTACCTCGCACGGCCCAGTTAAAGCTTTCAATCCGCCGATCATATGCATATGGCATAATGTGGTCACCAATCACCACCGTCCCAACGCGGCTCAACCTATTCCCTCAACCAAAATCTGATCTCCGGTGCCCCCATCGCCAACGTGGCCAACGTCCGACTGCTGCTCACGGCTGCGAGGACGACACTACACATCCACTAGCCCCGACCATTCGGTGTCATCAATGTCGCACAGGGGCAGCCGATCCCGCAACGTTTCCAGTGCTCGCTCCACAATGGCGCCGTCGCGCGCACTGCGCAGTGTGATCAGGTGTAGCCGCTGCAAGTGTCCCAGTGCTTCCACGTGCACCAAATCCAGCGGCTCGCACCCCCACGGCAACCACTCCAACTGCCGCAGATTTTTCAATCCTGTCAAGGCCATGAGGCCCATCCCCGACAGCGGTGCCGGACGCTGCTGCTGGGATGCCACGGCTACAGCCGCCGACATCGATCCAGGTGCTATCGCGCTCCGCACCTCCCCACAGCAGCCGGCTTCCAGCTCCTGGTCCTGTGAAACGCGCAGTACGGTGAGGGCCGTCAGCGCCGCCAATGCCGTACAGCTGTCGTCCGTGAGGTTAGGCAGCAAATTGTTGATTTCCAGGCTGCGCAGGTTGGGCGCCCATCGCACCAGCCGTTGCAGCGATACGCCGGAGCCTAGCCGAACTTCCCCTAGCACCAAATGCTCCAGGGCGGGAAGGTCCGGTTCCACCGCGATCGGCGGCGGTGCCAACGGCATCGGCGCCGCCAGCGGCGGCGTCGGCGGCAGGGCGACAGCTTGCTGGTGTCCATGTGAAGCTGCCCGATTAAAATTCGCGTTTATTGAAGAGCTGCTGTTAAGCGCGCTGTTGCACACGACGGCGCTGCCGCATGCCCTGCTGTTGCTGCTGTCGGCAGTGCTACCGGCATGCCCTGTGCTGCTGCCGGTGCAGCAGCAGCCACGAGCTCCTTCGCTGCTGGTGCAGCTGCAGGCCTGTGTCTGAGTCTGCGCGCCAGCGGTGTGGGTGTGAATCACCGCCCCGCTGCTGTCGCTCGCAGTCCCGTAGCCGCAGCAAACACAACTGCCCCGTGGCAGCGCTACGGCCCTCGAGCTCCCGTCGCTCGCCTGTGCACACTCCCCCTCCACCACCGCCTCACTGTCGGACTCCGCCCCGCAGGACGGTAGCGAGGAGCAATGCTGCGGGTACTCCACTGACGTAGACGGCGCAATCGCTGCTGCTGCTGCCGGCCCTGTCGCCAACGACTTAACCTCCAAGCCCCGTCCCAACCTCTCCAAAATTGCTGCATTAGCGGCCGCCGAATTGATCAACGTGACGCTGCTTAGGATAAGGCTGGTAAGGCTGGGCGGCAGCAAAGAGACGTCCAGCGCGACCCGTGGGTCATTGCACCAGGAGCCACTCAGCGTCAGTGCCTCCAGGCGGCGCCAGCGCGCAAGGAACGCACCGAAGCGCGCTGGCGGCGGCCGTAGCGGCAGCAGCGGCAGCTGCGAAATGCGGTAGGCGGCGCTCTGCAGCTGCAAGGATGTCACTCCCGGCCAGGCAGCCGCAAGCGACACCAAGTCCAACTCGCAGATGGGCGGGACCACGCACTGCGCCATGCCAAACCCCTGGAGGCCTACAAGGCTTGTGAGCAGACCCCACGAACCAGACCGCGCAGCCGTTACTGCCGCTGATGCTGCCGCCGCCGCCGTCGACGTCGACGGCCCGGTTGCCGTGTCGTGTCCCAAACCCTGGACTCGACCCTCCCGAGACGCTGCGTTTTCGGCAGGCGTGGCGAGCCGCGGCGGCGCGGCCTTCCAGCGGCAATCGTAGAAAGTCAACGAAGTCAGCGACGTCAGCATGGCCAGGCGGGGTAGGGGGTCGGCGGGAAAGGAGCAGCACAGCAGGCCTAGCTCGCGCAGCACGGGGCGCTCTGTGTGGCCACGTACGATGAGCTCGAGGGCGTCCCAGTCAGCGCCGCCGCCGCCGCCGCCGCCCCCTGGGCCGAGGTTAGCCGGAACCGCGGCGGCTTCAGGCCCAAACAGCGGCGGCGGCGGCGGGAGCGGCGGCGGCGGCACGTCATCCGCATCGTCCAGTTCATCTCCGTGGTACATCAGGCTCAAGCGCTTCAGGCCCGACAGCGCGAAGAGGTCGGGTATGTGCTGCGGACTGTCCAGCTCCAAACGAAGCTCCTGCGGGGCGATACGCGGTTAGGCAGTTATATCGGTTATGTTGTTCGTACTGGAGGCAGTAATTGCCCTAAAGCAGTAAGTGGCCTGGCTTGATCTGACCTGACATGAAGTCCTCATTAGTTATATGCATGTATGTACAAGAGAGAGAGAGAGAGAGAGAGAGTGTGTGTGTACGTTTCTCGCACTCGTCACTCGCCATGACACGCACCTGCAGGTCCGGCAGCTGCTGCAACGCACTCGCTATTGCCGGCCCCAGCGTCACCAGGCCATCAAGCCACAGTTGCCGCAACCGCCGCAACCGTGACAACGCCGCAAGGCCCGCATCCACCTGCCCGACCCCGGACACCTCCAGATGCAGCCGCTGCAGCTGCGTGGCAGAACCCAGGGCCTCCAACTTGGCGTTGGTGAAGCCGTATTGGGGCAGGCCGGACAGAAGCTTGAGGTCTCGGAGCGAAGACAGGGTGGACAGTACGGCAGCGACCTCCCCGGGTTCCGGTGAGGCGCCCTGGTGTTGTTTGCGTTCGCAAGGTGGTTGTCGTACCGGTCGTACCAGTTGTACGAGGTGTAACCAGGCATGAGGTGCCGTGTAGATGGTGTAAGGGGGTTTCGTGGGTTAAGTTGCGGGAGGATGGTTTATGAGACTGTGGGAAGGGGTGGCAGACTGGAAGCGTACGAACGTTTTGGCGGATTGCCCTGCGCCCAGATCGGCAATGCGGCACGCACTGTCCAACATCTGCATTGCGACTTTGCACTGCATCTAAGTATAAACAGCAGTTGAGAGGTCATGAGTCAATTTCCTGTGTGTTAAGAAAGCCGGACAGACCGCTGGACAACCGGACAAAAAGACCGAAAATTTGTATGTAAAGAACTCAAAACCCAGATTTGCTCAACCTTCCCCCTCAGAGCCTTCCTCCCGAATCCTCAATCCTCCAAGCAAAACCCTTCCGTACCCTTCCGTACTATACCATAAAAACCCTTGACCGACCCCTCTTTCCCTCCCGCCCCCTGCTAACCCACCATGATCAGGTACAGCGTGTCAAGTCCCGTGAGTTTCGTTAGGGAGGGCTGTAGCTGCTGCAAGGAGGTCCCCAAGCACGGCACAGAGGACGGCACGATGTAGCGCAGCTCAAGCTTGGTGAGTGCGGGCAGGCTGGCGGGCAGGCTGTGCAGCTGCGCGGCCAGCTGGTCTGCAGAGACCCGGCTGCTCACATACACTGCGCCCGCAGACGGGTGCGAGCGGGTGGCGGTGGGAGGGGGGAGGAAAATGGGAGGAGGGGGAAGGGAAGGGGAAGGGAAGGGCTGCAGTTTCTTAAGGGGGGAATAACAGGCGGAGAGAACGCGATGGTCGGGCGAAATACAGACACGGGCATTGATGACGCAATTCATAAGAGGATGCGTGGCTGGGTGTGTGGCTGGGTGCGTGGCTGGTGGAGGGGTGTTGAGAGCACGGAACGTGTGTGTGCGTTTGTGCTTTCGTGTGCGTATGTACGTGTGTCTGTAGAGACTGAGGAACTGCGTGTAATCGTGTATGTGTGTGTGTTATTTTATCTTTGTGCTGCTGGGGCCTTATCAGCCAGTGGCAGAGTTGTGTAGCGCTCGCACACAGGAGGCAGAGGAGGAGGAGGGGGAGGAGGACGGAGGAGCAGTTTGCGCCACGGATTAATCAACGGTCAACGGCCAACGTCCAACAGTCTTTCGCGCGCAAACGAAGCGAAGGAGGGTTCGCTATCAGGCGAAAGCCTCGCCGAGAGCGAAAGTCTGCTCAGGCGCATGTCGGGGCATGTACATGCACATGTACATCTGTCATCTGATGCGCTGCTTCCATGTCATGGGGCTACAATCTCTCCACTGCCTCGACAGCAGGGAGGAGCTACAGGGAAGGAGGAAACCACGCGCACGGAGCGAAAATAAAAACTGCAACTACCGTTTTGCGGCCCGAGAAGAAGGGTCGCTAAGACGGAACGGCGGCGAGGTTCCCCCAGGTCACCAGATCGAATCCTACCCACCCATAATTTCGCTGAGCTGCGGCAAGCAGGCCGCCAGTCCTGCCAGGGACCGTTCCCACACGTTTTCCCGGCCGCTGGGTTGCGCGTCCAGCTCCACAAGCTGTCGTTGCTGGTGCTGGAACGCATGCGGCAGGTATTTGACGGCAGCGGCCACGTGGCGGCGCCACTGCTGACACACCAGACGCGCTGAAAGGAGCTCGCACAGCGCCAACTCGCATCCAATGCGCTGCAAATGCAGGCGATGCGGTTAGGGGTTTGGTACTGGGGGAGGCGCGGGGTGAGTTAGCCGGTTACGCGGGGCTTCCCGCCGTAACCCCGTCACGCCGGTATGCAGCACGGTAGAAGGGTTGCGGACGGGATGGCCTGGCTGGTGTGCATGTGGCGTTCGGTTAAAGAGAGGCGCAGGCTTACGATGACAGTTACAACGCAGGACCCGTCGGCACGAGGGAGCGGGCCCAAGGGCGTTATTATCTAATGGTAATGGAATAAGACGACTGTACGGCCAAATGCTGTCTACCGGAGTTTTTCCTTGACTTCTTACCTCCAAAATATCCAGGTTCAGACCAGCCCAGGAGCCTCTGCCGACCTCCTCCACATCCATGATGCTATAATGTATGCGTTGTTTAAATCTTTTAATTACCGCAACTTCCGCAGAATGTGCCTCTATGAACTGCTTCCGGAAGCAGGTACCTCGGTAATTGCAGCAAGTCGGAGCTAGTATAAGTTACAAAGCGCCATGTGTAAGGATTATTGATAGCTAAGCTATGTGACTGCACTTAGTGCGGCCAATCAAGGAAAAGCAAGGTCCTATACCAGGGCGTTTCCCGTTGTTTTAACGGCCTGTACGAACTCGTCATGTGTCGACCCGGTAGTCGATAGTTGATTTTGATTATCACGCATGAGGATTCATTAATGGGGCGCACCTGTGCACAATAGCCAGCACTGTGCTTTGCTTAAAGCTTGACAGTAAAAATGGTCCTAGTGCTGCCAACGGAAGGCCCGCTAGGCGATGGCGATAACATGTTGCAAAAGCTCTTACAAGATCCCCTGTTGCTAGAAGCGAATGCCAACTTCCTTGCTCAAAAAGACAGCAAGGCCCTGGCTGCTTCTTGCCGTGCGGTATGCACCTTAATGGGAGAGCAAGCAATCGTCGACTTCAGCGACGGAACATGGCATGTGGGAAGCAGCGATGCAACGACTTGCCTTATTGTTGTGGCCGTGTGCTACCGAACTTCGAAAGCATGGTATGAGCCACTGCACGATACCTCCGTAGCTCAATCTGCGAGTTCTTCTGTGTTACTGCTGAGCTAACGAGCCAAATTTACCGTGGTGGAGAAACAGGATGTCGGCCCCTTCGCTGTAGTCCAAACACAGGAGCGGCCCTCCCTTGGTGCCCACAGATTTCGACTTGTGTGGATGCCTTACGCAGGGCCGCCCATTACAACAGTGGGTTTGCCAATACAGATTCAAGCATCCTCGAACTCCTCCCTCACCACATGGAGAAACCTGACGTCTGGCTGGTGGGATCTTTCCAGGAGCCTAACGGCGAGAGCGAAGCCACGCTGTTCGGCGTGCTGCGCCAGCTGCAGGATAGCCACTTGCCGTTCCATGTGCGGCTAGCCTGCGTCGACTCAGCCAATACCAATGCCAAAGGCGGGCCCTATGCACTGAACCTAACGGTGCGCTGCTCGCCCACCGCCAACGCTGAGGGAGCTATTGCCAAACCCATGGGCTTTGAAGACCGGGGCCCTGAGTTGCCTCGCCGTTTTGCGTACGATCACCTTGCGGCTGATGGTCAGTGTCTTCAGAACATCGTGGATACGGCAACCTCACGATTTCGCGTGCCGGGCTTCCGGTGTCGGTGGCTACCGCGTCATCACATCGAATATTATGCTGCCCAAATTCGAATGCCAGATGCGGCTTTCTTGCAGAAGAACAGCACTAGTCCAGACTACGAGCCGCCAAGTTTCGTTCAAGACGTCAAGGATGCATACCGCTACATCATCCAGCTTGCAACGCAGGGGGTAACTTCTGTTTCAGATGCATGGTTTGAATGGGTGGGATCAGGTCCACAGGATTTGACAGGTAGCGTCAACCCTGTTACCTCAAGTGGTCGGTGGGCTCCCGTGACAGTTACATAATACCTTTTAGGGTTGTAATACGCTGCGTACAGGAGATGTTGATTAATGCTTAAGCGGACGCTGATTTTTTCGAAATTTATTCTTCGCCTCAAATTTCCTTACAAATGAGAAGTCGCTTACGCGAATGTCGCGTTTAGTATTTAGCCCAGCACAGCTTTCTAAATCCGCGACATTGGTGCATTAGAGCTGTTATGACTCAGATTGTTAAGCAGCCACATGCAATTCATTGCAGTACACCCGACGTACCAAACAAAACACCTACACACCCGCACAGAAAGAATAGTTGAACAGTATGCAATCACCAACAGCCACACCACAGCTCCGCTCGAAACTCTCTAATTGTATAAGTCAGGTCGTTACTATTCTGTTATACACCGAGCGCACGCACGGCATTTCATCAAACGACCACTGTCTACTTCTTCTTCTCCTCGACCGAACCGGTGGTCGGCAGGCCGAACGACACCTGCAAATTGATCAACCAAATGCAAGGTTATAGAGAACCGAACACATGTTAAGCATTTGTTATGTTTCATTCTCGCTGTAAGCAAGGGCAAGAGACACATAAGGACCTGCATACCTTACAATCTCACGTACAGAACAGTACCACAGCATTAAGCAGTGAGAAACTAAGCCGCGTTTTAAAAAGCAGGAACTTGCATACACAACCTTGAGTTTCGGGTATGATACGTCCTACCCATTTGCTAACCTTCCCACCCAATAATCATCGAATCTCCTACCTTGAAGGCGTCGTAGATACCCCACTGTAGCCCGGTCAGGGTGCCGATCATGATGATACGCAGGCCGAGACCACGGGTGAACAAGGCGTACCAGCCCATCTCCTTGATAATATCGCCAGCCGTTGCGCCCTTTTGGGCGTTAAGCTTCGACACCAGGTTGTCGGCCGGGTGCGATACGACGGCACAGAAGACACCAGCAATGTAGCCGGCGGCAAACGACACGCCAAGCTGCTCCGACTTGGAGCACTCAGACTTCGGCTTGGGCACAACATGCTTGTACAGCAGCTGCACCGTGTTCTCGAACGCGCCGAACTTCATCATGGTGTAAGGGATCTGGCGGCCCCACAGCGGCTTGAGGCCCTTGAACAGGCTGTTGTAGGGAATGACAATGTATGGGGAAGGGACCGATATATGAACCAAACTGTACTACCAAAGAATATGCACTGTGAAACCGATTGGCCGCTTCGCTGCTCACCCGGCCGTGCCCTCCAGAGCAACGAACTTGGGGAAACCATCGGCCATACCACGAGCAAACCCTGGCACGGTCTGGACCTTGACCTGAGGGTTCACAGCGCAACGTACAGAAAAAAAAAGAGAAAGAAGTCATTTAGGAGCCAGCTTCGGCCATCACAGATAGCACATACCTTGACCGCCTCGAAGGGGCACAGCGCGATGTCGGCAAAGAACTCAGCGCTGGCCGAACCCGCAAGGTAGATTGCGCTCTGGTACTTCTTCGCAAGCTCCTCACCGGCCATGTCAGAGTAGGTCCTGTGCCGGATCACGCGACAAAAGTGTTGCAGCCCGCTAAAACGGCGTGATGAGTGACAAGCACGTTCCCCTTGAGACTCACTTCTTGAAGTACTCATAGAGGCCAAACTTGCAAGCACCCTGAGCAGAATAGCCGATAAGGGTGGGCACCCAGCCCTTGAAAAGGCCAGCCACGCCCGCCTCCGACACAAGGACGCGGAAGCCATTTCCGATGCCCTTGTACTTCGTCGGGTTCGTTTGGATATTGCACTTGACGACATCCAACGGTGTTACACCCATATGGGTGAGACCGCAGCTCGCAACACCACCCAGCGCGCAAGTCCAGTAGTATTCACTGCAGTGCGGAGGATGGTGTTGATTGAAAAGTCGCATCCACTTCCAAGCGAAACCGATGTCGGCATAATAAGCCCAAGGTAAGAGACAGACCTGCTGTAAAGCTGGATCTTCTTTGCTGGCTCTGCAGCGCTGGCCGCAACCATCTTGCTAAGAGGAACCGTATTCAAAGCGGTTCCCAGAGCAGACGGCACCGGCATAGCTGGCTTCTCTTGCTTCGGCTGCATCGTAGCGAGCGCCGCCGAAACAAAGCTGATGCTAGGCTGGGGTGCCATGATGGACGGTTGCGAGTGTTGAAGTGCAACAGCACTTAACGAACAAAAGGTTGTCGTGGATAAGTTTTACAGAAATATCTGTTACACCAGTCCTTATATGTATGCGGCTGGGTTTAGATTGCTGTTGTATTTTGGCAACTGCATTTTGCCGTAGAGGGCCCGATTCCACCATGGCAAACAGCAGAGGCAGGCCTTTCTTACAACTATCGCTCTAACCAGCTACTTTTCTGTTTTGGCCAAAACCGAACTATGTCCTGTCTCCCGAAATCCCTAACGGCTCCATTCCGCCGTAACTCAACCAAACTATAGTCATTCTGGTATGCTTTTCCAGCCACAATGCCTGCTGCGCCTTCTGTCTCCGCTCGTGCGTCCCGCGGTGCTTGAAGCAGCGTTAAACCAGGCGACGCGAGGTTTACGGCGTGCTGCAGGAGCGCGGGGGCGTGAAGTGCAGCAGCAAGTGGACGATGAACTACTGCCCAAGGCGAGGCGGGCATTCCGTTGAACGAGCCGAGGGACTAACCTAACAGCCCATGGCCGGTGCTTCTTTAGCCCTCAACCGCATGAAAACAGAATGGTTTCGGAGCCAGCTGTCCCACATTTTATTAAATGCAATCCATCCCATGCGGCACATCCCGAAAAGCCTGCATCCATGTAATCCCCCCCCCAGACCCTAAGACGCGCTGAACAAGGCCCGCATCCCGGCCCTTACAACATATCTCAGTCCATAGCGCGCGACGTAAAAACGTGTAAATTTACCGTACGACAGCACGCTTGGAAGCTCGTTGCAGTTTAACTGTAATACCGCTTCCTAACGTAAACTTTACTTTTGATGTAAACCTCAGCAATCTGAGTCAGTTGGATTGGACTCCTTGGCACCTTTGTTCAGTGGCTTTTGCAGCACCCGACAATCCGTCTAGGTCAGCGCGCATATGTATGTATGTATGTATATATAGCGTGTTGCAACATGTGTGCAAACACTCCGCATCTCTCCCACAGGGGGAAGGGAGCCTTTGCGATGTAGGCCGATGTGTGTAGTGTACTTCCGATTTCGCCGCTGCCATCCACATCAATATTTCCCCCCAATGCCCCTTATTCCCCCATCCGCTAAGCCTCTCCCCTACATAAACACACACGCACATTGCACGTGACATTACCGTTACCATTCACCATCAAAGCTTTCCGCCCGGGTACATCTTTTTTTGTTAAATAACCATTCATTGTGACATGGCTCTCTTTCATCGCACTCAGTTTCGGGTTTAAGAACCGCGGGAACAGAGAGCATGGGGTTGTTGATATTTTTGGGGCGTCTCCCGCCCTGGCGGCCATCTCTCCATATCCGCAGATTGTTCCTTCGCGTCATTTGTTTGACGACGACCTTTTGTTGATATCGAGGAAGTGGTTGTGCTGGTTGCATTTAGCAACTCCTAGAAGAGGCGGCCCCACTGCCCCCAGAGCCCACACGCATCCACTTACATGCGATGTACACATACACACACGCGCGCGCGCACACACATACACGCACACACGCAATCCACTCTTTCATAACCAGATTTATAGATGTGAGTCACCCATAAGCTTATGCAGCACAACGGCTGCCGTCAATGCTCACCCCGGGCTATGACCTATTTTTGTCGAGTTCGCGCTGCTGTACTGCTACTGCTGTACTGCTACTGCTGTTGCTCTTGCTGCTACTGCTCCTGGTGGTGGTGACGATGGTGGTGATACCGGCCCTCAGGTAGCGCTTGTGGGACGCCCCAACGTCGGCAAGTCGGCGCTCTTCAACAGACTACTCCGACGGCGGGTGGCGCTGGTGTGTAACGGGGGAGGGGTTTTTGGATGGGGGTGTAACGGGGGAGGGGTTTTTGGATGGGGGTGTAACGGGGGAGGGGTTTTTGGATGGGGGTGTAGAGGGAGAGGAGGGTTTTGGATGGGGGTGTAGAGGGAGAGGAGGGTTTTGGATGGGGGTGTAGAGGGAGAGGAGGGTTTTGGATGGGGGTGTAGAGGGAGAGGAGGGTTTTGGATGGGGGGGTAGAGGGGGAGGAGGGGGGAGATGCAAATGGAGCTTTGGACGGATGAGATACAGACTTTCCTGTACTCAACCACCCAGCTAACCACTAACCGTAACGGACGATCCCGCAGCGAAAAAAAACGGTGGGAGATTCACCACCATACTCAGGCACCCCTTTCCTCACCCCCCTCCCCTCTTTCGCCTCTGTGTTTTCCCCCTCTCCCCCCGTACTTCCCCCCCTCCACCGCATTCTAATTATCCGGATTTCTGGCCCCCGCATCCTTGTCGTCGTCTTCCCCGATGTACGACAAAACGCCAGGTGTACGACACCCCGAACAGTCACGTGACACGTGACTACCAGGAGGGCCGGGCGCAGTTGGGTGATCTTGTGTTTCGTGCTGCCGACACGTCCGGGTTGGAGCCGCGTGGGGGCAGCTGGCGCGGGAGCATTAATGTACGTACGGATGGCCGTACAACATATTGGATTTGAGGGAATATTTTCCGGGGGAAGTGGGAGTGAGGAAAGGATGCCGCGATGTGGGTCGTCGTGCTTTCTCGGCGGGAGGGAAAGAGAGGTGTCAGAAGAATGTAATAAGTGCAAATCAAATTTTGGATCCAAAACCAGCTCACAACAGTCGTCGTCAGTTGATTTGGGGTTTTGTGCAATTTAATCTCTCTCTCTACCTCTCCCTCTACCTCTACCTCTACCTCTACCTCCACCTCTCCCTCTACCTCTCTCTCCCTCTCCCTCTCCCTCTACCTCCACCTCTACCTCTACCTCTCCCTTTCCCCTTTTCAGGCCCCTGGCCACCCATTCCCGAGTTAAACCCCTTACCCTCTTGCAACCGATTCGCCCCCACTTCCCGCCTCCCTCCCCCTCCCCTTCAGGCCCGCGCCACCTCCATCACCACGGCGCTCCTGCGGCAGTGCCACCTCACGTTGCTGGTGCTGGATGCCAAGTAGGTTTGAAGTGGGTGGGATGAGGGATGGGGAGCGGGGCAGCGCAATTTTATCTATTACCTGACGCAGAGGGGAGCAGCGAGGGGAGGGGAGCAGCGAGGGGAGGGGAGCAGCGAGGGGAGGGGAGCAGCGAGGGGAGGGGAGCAGCGAGGGGAGGGGAGCAGCGAGGGGAGGGGAGCAGCGAGGGGAGGGGAGCAGCGAGGGGAGGGGAGCAGCGAGGGGAGGGGAGCAGCGAGGGGAGGGGAGCAGGGAGGGGAGGGGAGCAGGGAGGGGAGGGGAGCGGGGAGGGGAGCAGGGAGGGGAGGAGGGAGGGGAGCAGGGAGGGGAAAGTGGCTTCCTTACTTTTCAAAACGTTTTCATGAGAAGTCATCATGCAGCGCTACACAGGGTTTGTAAACAAGCAAACTGAATAATTCTTCGTTCGGTAAGTGGGGTAGGCCGAGTGGAGACCAGCTCCCGCGAAAATCATTACCCTCGTTACCCTGCCGAAATGTCTGGGGCTGTCATTTTTATTTTTATTTTTTTCATCCTGAGTTTCTTGCGTCGTCATATGATCATCATAACTACCACCATGACCATCCTCCATTGCATAATTCCTACACACACACACACACACGCACGCACACACACGCGGGATCCGCCCACTCCAGGGACGGCGTGTTGCCCGCCGACGAGGAGGTGGCCCAGTGGCTGCTGCGTCACGTGCCCCGAGACCAGGTCCTGGTGGTCGCTAACAAGGCGGAGGGGGCCAGGGCCAGGGATGGTGAGTGCGACGGCTGGCTGGGGTAAGGATCGTACATTTGTACGACAGTCAGTCAGACACAGCGGGGTTAACACCCGCGTATGTGTAGTGTGTAGTGTGTTTTGGTGACGTGTGCGGAAAATGGCGAATATGTCGTTACAGACATATCTTTATCTGAGCAGCGTGTAGCTCTGTAATACAGTCAGCGACATGTGTAATGAGAGAGAAAGCGTGTGTGTGAGTGTGATCTGCATGTGTGTTTGTCGTACTTAGGTTTTCATGCGAAGACTACGTTACAAACAAGTACCTGCACGCAAGGAAAGAACGTCTTCGTGAAAGGGTAGGGCCGGGAGAGGGCACACTACCACGAAGCGGATCACCAAGGCCTACAGACCAACCGCTTCACGGCAGCACCCAAACGTAGCTACGAACAACCCGAATTAGCCAACACTGTCGCGTGCCGCGACACAAGAGCCACACTGGCTCGTACGCCATACGGCAAAGACACTCCGTATTCGCAGAAAACCTTAGTTTTCAACGCTTCACGTAGAAAACTGTCAGTTTTCATGCGAAGACTACGTTACAAACAAGTACCTGCACGCAAGGAAAGAACGTCTTCGTGAAAGGGTAGGGCCGGGAGAGGGCACACTACCACGAAACTTCAATAATCGCGGAGGGGGCGGCCGTGCCCTTAGCCACCCAACCCCGCACAAGGCTACAGCCACAAGGAACGTCAACAACACGCTTCCACGCTATGGGGCCGCTGCCCCCGGCCTCTCCGGGCCCCGACCCGCGAGTTAACACTCGTGTCGGCTCCCAAACACCACGGGGCTGCTGCCCCCGGCCTCTCCGGGCCCCGACCCGCGAGTTAACACTCGTGTCGGCTCCCAAACACCACGGGGCTGCTGCCCCCGGCCTCTCCGGGCCCTGACCCGCGAGTTAACACTCGTGTCGGCTCCCAAACACCACGGGGCTGCTGCCCCCGGNCTCTCCGGGCCCCGACTCGCGAGTT